GTGTGTATGAAAATGGGCTACAGTATATCTTCCAAATGGCAACTTTCATAGGGAAAACGTCTGCAGAGGGGGAAATTATGATCAACCAATGGATTGAGGGGTGTCAAACTTTAAGACAAACCCAAATGAATTGGCTGAAAGATCCGTTGAAAATTCCTGAATTGTGTTCGAACGACTTTTGCTGCCGAAACCTCTCCATGTCAGAGTAATGTCCTAAACCTTTTTTCTCAACACCAACCTGGTCAGGTCAGTCAGCAACCACTGTTCCCCAGATCCCTCCTGAGACGTTCTTCTTGCAAGTCGCTTTGCGCTTTCAAGAGATTCTCCTGGTGACTTGGAGGCGTAACTTGTGCAGGAGACCTTTGAGGCCAATAATGTCATAGATATAGTTACATACTGGTATATAGATATATTGTGTACGTATATATACATAACAAAATGCACATGTACACATATGCCGCATGCAAGTATAAATATACATATATCTACAAACAAAGAATTAAGATATGTTTCATTAATTTCATATTTCTTCAGAATGGACTTGGGGTATATCAAAATCTGTGCATGTGTTTTATCTACCTACCTGCCCAACCCCCAACAAAAACTTAAACCTAATCTACCCTGCAGCCTGACCAAACCAAAGCTACCTATCTGTGCACTTTCCCCGCCTCGCAGGTGTGATTCCTCGTCAGGGCGCTTTTGAGCTCGTCCTGTACCTGGCTCCGGGGGGTTTCCAGGGGCGAAACCAAAAGGACACAACTGGGCTCGTTGGGGATGGAAATCGACATGTTTGATACCGGCCAGTAGTAGGGGCCCCCAAGATGGATACGTTTAGGCTTATGGAGGATATAACATGATATAACTATAGTTAATTGATGTTAATTGGTTCAGAAACCAACATCACCGGGGGCCCCACAGTATATTACTTGTGGCGTCGGAAAACCGGAGCCAGTACCCCAGCAGTGGGAGTCCCACAAATGTCCTGAGTGAGTCTTTGCTCTGCAGCTTGCAATTGGGATCTTAGGCTCGCCTCCAAGCAGTGAAAGCATGGAACTGTTGTATCTGTGTACCTAGGGTTACTTAGGTAGCTATATCTGATTGCTGTTTGGCTATTCATCTATCTAGCTGGCATCAGCTGGCATTCGCTGGCTAGCGGCTAGCTATCTTTCTGCTTACTTGTTGCGAAAGGGGCTTAGGCTCAAACGCTAGTCATGTCGTATCATGCATATAGATCCCGACTAACGACCTCTTGAAATGGGAAAACTAGAGAAGTCGTTTTGGTATACCATTTGCCACCGTTTACCATTTAATATGAGAAATTACACTGGAGAAAGGATATCTATACACCTCACGAACATGGGTAGATTGACAAATCATCCCTTATGATCGATGACTCATAATTCATCAACAAGAAATTGTGTTATTTTTGTACTTTTGAAGGTTATCAGGCCAAGATTGACTACTCAACCGCAAGCTGCGGGGGTGGATGTGTGCAAATCGGCTCCAGTCCTGGGATGAGAATGCCTGAAAAAGCGGTCATAAATGGTCACTTTAATCAACCAATGTCCTGTCTTCAAATTCACACCATAGAAACACAGAAACACGTTATATTCACCCAATGCCAGAGCCATGATTCCCAATGACTTACCATAAATGGGTGAATGACTCTTACAAAACATCGCCTTAAACGCCACGACGAATGGTTTCGACCTGCTCTGCAGCTGATCGGGTGTTCTGCTCCTTTGTATCGGCAGAAGTCGCTTCCAACTTCGCTTGCAGTCTCGCCTCAGTGCGAAAATTCCAAGTTGGTCAGTGGATCATGAGGATCTGGAATATATATATATATATATAACATATACATATATATATATATATAAATAAAGGGATATACAAACAACTGGAGAGATTTTTGACCTCTTCCATGTTTAGTTCAGTTCAGTGGAACCACTTGGAAAGAACAGGCAACCTATAATAGGCCGTGGTAGTCGGCTCCTCATGTTCCGGGAATTATATATATATAAAGGAACAGTCACCAGAGAACTGTCGGTAATGTCACATCGCTCTTGAACATGGCACAACTATAGATGATTCACCTATTGAACATTGTGATTTCTATACCGCAAGGTATCATGTTTAACAGTCTGTTTACCCTCCAAATTGAACCGGAGGACTTACTGGAAATCTGCCTCAGGTATGGTGAAAGACATGGTGCCAACACAAGGAACCTAGACTAGACCATCGCTCAGCATCATAAAATATTATACACGTGCACCTTATCTCAATATATGTTTGGATATACATACTGCATACTATACCAACAAATGGTAGTGTAAAATACTACGTTATATTATACATGTGCACCTTATCTCAATATATTTTCTTGATGTACATACTGCATACTATACCAACAAATGGTAGTTGATATACATATAGTGTAAAATGCTGCGATATATTATACATGTGAACCTTATCTCAATATATTTTCTTGATGTACATACTGCATACTGTACTATACCAACAAATGGTAGTTGATATACATATAGTGTAAAATACTACGTTATATTATACATGTGAACCTTATCTCAATATATTTTCTTGATGTACATACTGCATACTATACCAACAAATGGTAGTTGATATACATATAGTGTAAAATACTACGTTATATTATACATGTGCACCTTATCTCAATATAATTTTTGATATACATACTCTGCATACTATACCAACAAATGGTAATTGATATACATATATATATATATAATACTACGTTATATATACCAATGTATAATATGCACACAACAAAATATACCTATTGTGTATATATATACATACACATTAATATACTGCAATCACATATATGTGTTAAATCCTGTATATACAGCGCCTGCTTGCTTTTTCAAATCCATCCAAAAACACCTTAGTGATCTGGGCCTTATATGTCAAAAAACCAAAGGAACTGCATCTATTGAATGGTTTTTCCATTGCCAGAGGCTGCCAGATTGCACTAGAGTGGATATCTCACCATTGGAAATTGATATCAGCAAACAAAAACTACCCTCAGGTAATGACTAACATAGCTATTGAAAATGGCCCAGTCGAAATAGTGAGTTTTCCCATTAATAGCATGGTGGATCTTTCCATAGTTTTTTGTATGTTTACCAGAGGGTATGGCACCTGGTCCCCTTGTCCCATGTCGGCCCCAGACGTTTTGCTGCTGCAACTCGGCGTTGTGCCGATCCAGCCGAAGACGTGCCTTTTGAAAAAATGGGGGTTCGAACCGGTCTGGTCCCTCTGGTCATCTCCGGTCAGAACCGTTTGCGAAGTGGAAAATCATCATTTTTGATGGGCAAATCATCACCCATAAGCTCTATGTATGGTATATTTACCAACATTTGCCCTAAAAATCACCCAAATGTAGGTAAATATACCATACATGGAGCATATGGGTCATAATTACATCAATATAAATCATCAAATCATTGATAAATGGGTCATTTTTCCATCGCTACCAGCATGTTGAACAGCCAGAAGGTAAAAGCTGATGGAACATGTCAAAACGAAAAGAAACAAACAATCAGAAAAGCAATGGAATTTCTGCGATATTCACACTTGCATTACCCTCTGGTAAACTAACATAGCTATATATTGAAAATGACCATTTATATTGGATTTTCCCATTAAAAATGGTGATTTTCCATTGTTATGTTAGTTTACCAGAGGGTATTTGTATTCTGCCTTGACCTACCTACTACCAACCACCAAATATCACCACCAACCACCGTGTGCCAGAAGACTTTGGGGACTCGGAAAGTCACCAAACATCCCCCTTGAAAAAAACCGCTAGGAATTCCATTGACTTCATTGACTTCCCACTTAAGAATGACAGTGTTAGTTCTGTTAAATTCTGTTAGTCTGTTGGTTGATATCCCACCAAAAAAAACAAATCATCTGTTTTTTGTGGGTCCAACATGGCACTCTCCAGCCACCAATGGCAAAAAGAAATCCGAGCTTTTGATGGGCAAATAAACCATGTGTCATGACATTACATATCAAAAACATGTCATGACATATCAGCAATTTCATGCGATTGGAAATTGACATTGACACAAGATTTATATGTTTTACAGATACTTTGTCCCATCTACCCACCATAAACGTGACATTTCTCAACATCCATTGATTGGACATTGGAAAAAAAACAAACAAAACAAAAAGTTGTTGCACGTTGGGGATGGGAAATCACCAATGTCATGGTATGGTCGGCTGATCGATATCGATAGGATACAAAGCAACTCAATAATGTAAATCCAGAATGTCATTGTTTAATTGGAATGTATTGGAATAATACAGATAAGGCCTACTCAATTTCAAACATCATCAATATATATATATATATACATATGTATATGTATATATATATATAGCAGTGTCCATGTTCATTGGAATAACATACCAATTATAGTAATATTACATCATATCATTTCAATAATATATCCACAGCAATCCCTCCAAACAAGATAGAAACATAGTTTGCCTTTACTTTGGCAGGATGCTACTAACATCTATCTATATATTATATTATTATACATTTTAGATAATTACTTTGAAATACTGTGTATGTAACACTGTATGTACATAAATATATATATATATATTTATTTGACACCTCATTGACTTATATATGTACATATCTATAGTCAATACTGTGTATAAGGGGGGTACATATAGTCATTTTAAATACTCGCCTGTTGAGCTTCCTCACAATCGCTGCGAAGGCGTTCAATCTCCTCGGTGCAGGCGGCTCCAAAATGAGAAGGTTTAACCAATCAGAAAAAGGTGGATTTAAGCATCAAAAGCATGAAACATGCAAGGTGAGCCCCCCCAGTTTTGTTTGTTTATAAATGTTTATAAATGTTTATAAACACATGAATTCTATTTCTATCCTCCATACACCCTAGTTAAGTAACTTATGTGTGTCAACTTAGCTATCGTTTGGAGGCACCATGAAGATCGTGATAGCGGACCCCCGTAGCGGTCTCGGTCTGCTGAGAGATGCTATACCAGGGATGATACAAGCAGGTGGCGCCTAGATGGAAGTGAGATCAAATCAGGCAGTGTGAGACAGTCATGTGAACAAGGTGGGTGTGTCTGAAAATAGTGTACCCCTAAACCCAATGGTTTTGCTGATCATTATCCCTATTAAATGGCTATAATTGGGAATATACCCTATTTTCAGACAAACCCAGGTTTGGAATCAGACTAAGAAAGATTACTTTCGAAATTACTTCTTAAGCCGGACCATTCAGGGTTAGCCCATGGTAAAGATTTATTCTTATTAAATTCCAGCCTTGTTCTAGTTATATCCTCACACTCAAACGTTGACCGGTTGTTATGTGCGTCAACTTGGCTAAGGGAACCTCACCCTGCAGGGAATTCAACTTCAGCAAGGACAGGAATGAGGGGGGGCAGCCTTAAAAGATGAAGTTTTCATGAATAAATATGTCGTTCATATGGTTTCCATATATCATAAATATGTTGTTCCTCTAAAACTCACAGGTGTGTCCACAGATGTTCATTCCATTTCATGCCTTGTATTCATCTCCTCCAAAATCCTTCCATGTTCGACCCCCCTCAAATCCAACATCAAGCCCAAAAATGATCCCTGATCATTTCTACTCAGAAAGTCATGTCACGCCGATTTCCTGACGCGGTTCATTTTACTCCTAGTGACTGACATTGACGCGCCGGCGACAACAACCACTCAATACTCCCAAGCTGCTTCGCGATGTGAGGTGCTCTGTCTCTCCAAAGCGGAAGCCTTTCCAGATGCTTGGTCTAGGATCCTGTGAGCTAGATAAGTCCCAAATATTTGGGGCTATTTCATGTTTAATGCGATTTAAGTCCCAAATTATTAGGGCTGATGTATTTGTTTGTAATAAGTGTATTCAACTAAACCAACGTTGCCAACAAGATCTGAGGATATGATATATATATACACAAAATACATCAAAATACTACATACCTTGGAATAGCAGCGTCAGTCATGCCTCGTGTTTATTCTGTTTGATTCAAGTAGCACTTGTATAGCGGAAGTGGCAAGCGCATCTGCTCGCACACTGGCAGAATGTACCCTTGCTTTTATTTGCTGAGTACATACTAGTTTACCTTTACTCATCAGCATGCATATATATATATAAACTGTACTTTGACTTAGCTGTGGATATATCAAATATACTGCATACATCCGCATACCTGTACTATGCTGTGGATGTACCTGTAGCATTAGATGCAACATCACAGCCTCCCATTCACGCTGCTTCTCGTAGAGGCTCACCTGAAATCAGCTGCCATCGGTTGATCATCACGTTCCCTTCCTATGAGAGTGGCTATGGGAATTGATCTTCCCCGTTGAGAAACCGAAGACCAACGAGTTAGGGAAACTATTTATTGGAAAACCATCAAGAACATGCCACCATACTGATCTACCAACATCTTCGTTGAAGAGCGTCTGCCTTGCTGGAAATGAATCGTCAGCAACTTCATTGCAGGAACAAAGTGCATTATCCATTATGAAACTGCCTAGCTGACCAACACGTACGGCTCAAACCTACTGGAGAGCGCAGAGTTGGGTTTCTTCATGTCATCTGACATGACATCGGTACACCTCCCATCCTATCAGCTACCACAGTTACCACAATCGATAGATAAATGGATAGATAATCGATTATATAATTATTCATGCAATTCATCATCCAGAGATGCTTCCTGGCTTCATTACGTATACTTACACCGGAATTCTGTGGCAAAGCCAGTCATGAACCATCCCCAATTTCACCATGGAAGGTTTATGGCATTGGGGTTACCATATGTTCCCCTTTTTTGGGTGAACATCCCCCTTTGTGGTGTGCTTCCGCACCTTAGCTTCTGCCTCCGAAGCTCTCTGTTCACTGAGGCGCAACCTGGAACAGGAAAACTCAGTGATCTACAAGGGGATCAAGCTTAGAAAATACAATGGAATATATATATATATATAATTATATATATATATATATGCCAAGTATCTATAAAATTGTATTTATTAATATTTATATACTTATATAATTGATCTTATATACAATAACATATATATATATAGATCTGTGACCAAAAAGGGAAGCATTTTGTGAACAATGGTCTGGTGGTTCAACCTGTTAAATGCAACCAATGGCCAGCAGCACTCATGGGAAAATAATGGGGACATCAACAAGCAAAATTGGAGAGGTTACAACAGCCAACTGAAAAAGTCTTGTCGTAGGAATCTGCTGATATGCTTTTGAATTTCGGGAGCTGCAACCCCCAACCTGACAGGGGTATGATCCGGAGGGATATGAGAAGATTCTGTAACATATTCCTATGATTTTCATCTTTATCTTCCAGCCACATACAATAAGAATGGTGTCTTACTCAGGTTGATATCGCAAAACCAAGTTGGACATCCACTGGTGGCTTCAACCCTGCTCAACAATGACGTTCACCTTACCGCAAAATGCCCTACTTGCAGTTCTAGTAACAAAAGGTTGCAAGGACCCTATTAATGATGTTAGATCATGTTAGATCTATCCTTATCTGCTTGGTGGTTTGGACCCTGCAATATGAAAGTCACTTTGATATGATCACCTTGTAGGGATGAACATAAGACATCTCTTGAACCAAGCAGTTCTCTGATCCTTCTCTGACCGGCCTCTTCTTGAGGTCATCAGTGATCCTCTGCTGCGAGCCTTTGGAGTGCCAATGGGAGTACCAATGCGTTTGACTGAAAATGTCTAGGAAAAAAAAAACATGCTTTCATTGCTTACTCAGATGGTTCTTGAAATTGTTGTTTTTCTTGTTTTTCCACGGTATTCCCATGTTCAGACAAACCCACTACATCTCTATGGGGTGTTTCAAATCATCCTGAAATGGTCAAAGGGTGTAACTGAAACATCACAGTACAGTAGATTCTCCAACAAACTCCAAACGTTCTCAAAATTCTGCGGACGCGGTTTCGAGAACCGCTTATATACCCACCGATCCAAAGCGTTGGTGGTTAAAGTGATTCACTTTCTGAGTCCATGGCTCTTGAAGCTGGAAAACTCCTGCTCCTTCATTCTTTTTTGTCACTCAGCAGAATCCCAAGTCAGGACGAACGTGAAGATCTTTACTAGCATCCCCAGTTCATATGAAACATCCCCATTGTATGGTCCAAAAAAGAGGTGTAAATCCCTAAGCCATGGTTTTGGGGGATGTTTCATATATTTTAATATGAACTGTTGTGAACTGGGGGATGGGATTGCTATCATTGGTGACCTCAATTCCATTCGTTCCTCGGCTCCTCGGATGACTGCACATGGCACAATGGTCATGTGAGTCATGTGCCATGGTCTATGGTTCATGGTCATCCCACCATCACTAGGGGTGCCTTATATATATATATGTAGTTATATATATATATGTATGTATGTAGTTATATAGTTATATTATATTATTACTATAAAATGGCTATATAATTCCCGATCAAGGGATTGATGGCCATCTCCCAAGGACCCGGAAAAGAACTGTTGACCTTGCTACACATGATGCCCACCAAGTCAGATCGTATCAGATCGTCTCCTTCTCCATCTTGAGCGTGTTGTTCTCTTCCCTAAGCCGCGCCTGATAACTGATGGCCAACTTGGGCCAAGGGACCTATGAAACCAACAAGTCATGCCGGGAAAAAAATGTCAGCTCCAGCCGGTCACAGCCTCCACGCGCTCCGCTTGCTTCTTTGTGGCCTGCCCATCAGATCAAGAGTGATGGGATTGGCCGGAAATTCGTTGGTGGGCAGAACCAAGGGGTGCGTAATTACGGACCATGTCTTGTAGACAAAAAACAGATATACTGGACGGGGTGTTTCAATGCCATGTTTGCTGACTGCAAGATAAACATGTTAAAAGACAAATACATCGCTCTTTTAGCGGTTTAGGCTGCACGTCCATAGAAACCCACGCGTCTTTTGCTGCCAAGTGAACATGACGTCTTTGTGGAACTTGGATCTAAGGTTTTGCAGATGGTTGTGAAATAGTAATTTACAAGCATTTTCATGTTGTTTTTTTGACAGATCATCATGGATTCATTGTTAACATATCATTCATTCATTTCAGTGTTGAAGATGACAGCGTCTGAAACTAACTTTGGGATGACAAAAAACATGTTTTTCATTGCGTTTCGTGTATGATTTGGCACATTAAATTTCGACATCGGGAGAGGAAATTTCATGTATTGCATGTGTCTAGTGTCTATTATGATTTAGATGAGCCATGTTTGGGATGTGGACGTTCTGGACATCGATTAGAGAGTTGCAAGACCAAAGCGGCAAGGGAAATCAGACGGTTGAGGGCAGAGCTGCAACGTCGTCATAGAGACAACGCTCGAGCGAATCCAGGTAGAAAAACTAAGAAAACAGCAAAAGGAAACTTGCTGCTCGAAAGGCATACGCCAAGAAAAACGTGCGGAGGACATATGAGCAGAAGAGACAGGTTGATTCCAACAAAAATTGGAGCGTAGCATGACGTGTGTGTGCAAGTGCAAAAGAAGATCCCAGAGCGTAGCATGACGTGTGTGTGCAAGTGCAAGAGAAGATCCCAGAGCGTAGCATGACGTGTGTGTGCAAGTCCAAGAGAAGATCCCAGAGCGTAGCATGACGTGTGTGTGCAAGTGCAAGAGAAGATCCCAGAGCGTAGCATGACGTGTGTGTGCAAGTCCAAGAGAAGATCCCAGAGCGTAGCATGACGTGTGTGTGCAAGTGCAAGAGAAGATCCCAGAGCGTAGCATGACGTGTGTGTGCAAGTCCAAGAGAAGATCCCAGAGCGTAGCATGACGTGTGTGTGCAAGTGCAAAAGAAGATCCCAGAGCGTAGCATGACGTGTGTGTGTGCAAGTGCAAGAGAAGATCCCAGAGCGTAGCATGACGTGTGTGTGCAAGTCCAAGAGAAGATCCCAGAGCGTAGCATGACGTGTGTGTGCAAGTGCAAAAGAAGATCCCTGTCCATGCGTGTTCAAGTTGACATGAACGTTATTGCCCCACCCCACCCCACCAATCCCCACCCTGACTGCACAACATACATTCCATGCGTGTGCCACTTGACATGAACGTTAATTATTGCCCCACCCCACCCCACCCTCCCCCCCCATATCACAGATATGCATATTGTATTGCGGGTTTCTAGGGACGTGCATGGTTTTAGCGGCTACTCCAATAGGTTCAAATCTGATTTCATGATCATTGAATCCCCATTGATTCAATGGTTGAAGGATAGAATGTTATCTATTTTAGCGAGGTTTAAGACATGTTAGATTCCCAATTGAAGGGCTAACCAAATAAAATCAGATTTTGGAGGATACAGGTTCCCTATTGAACGGTCAAACATTGTAAAACCGAAGAACAAACAGGTGTTCATAATAATACATCCATTAAAAACACACGCAGCCTTCCAGTTACTTCAAATGTTGGACTTGGTGACCTATCTGACAGATAACTGGAAGATAAATTTTACTTCATGGAACCATTAATCGCAAAATAAATATGCAACATGGCATGCTGCCGAAAAATGATATGAACATGTCATGGACCGTCACTACTGAATGATTATACACACATATGTGTATAATATACAATCTATCATCAAATGATATATAACATCAATATTATGAAAACATCAATTGACATATAATGACAATTTCATGGTTCAATGGTTCCCCACCATTATATTAATTTCTGGATACATAATAATCATATTTATAATATGATTAATATAAATATATATGATTATATGATTATATATGCATTTATCACAATTGTAACTTAATGGTCATTTTGAAAAATCGCGGTAGCCAACCCCCCCGATTTTTTGCAAATTAGCCGCCTCCTCAGTGCCCATCCATCGATCCTTCTCGATCTGCAGCTCGGCCAACTGACGGAGGCCAATCCGTGAATTGGATCATGGATTTACGGCAGCCCCAAAAACACTTGTTTCCTGCAGATTTTCACCCAACAAAAATGATAAAAAATGTAGAATCCACTGAATTATTCAGACCCTCTTCCATGTGAATATGCGTGGAACATGTTTCCACACATTAATCATATTATATCATGATAAAGAACTTTTCCAATACTTTTCCCAGCTCTCAGTGGCTTTCACCCCAGCATTGATACCAGCTGGGCCCCCTAATTTTCTAAGTTGCCAAAGCCATGAACTAGTTGGGTATGGATCAATACCTATTAATACCATTTTTAGTGGGATGAACATCCATTTACCAGCTATTTTGGGGTTCACTAGGTACCAGGGTTTTGACACACTGCCAGTTCAAGATGCTGATCCACGCCTTGGCCTCTGTCTCTGCCAGTTGCGCTTTCTGGCAGAAAAGCGGTGGTAGAAAAGCAACAACGTATGTTTTTTTTGTTGCAACCCAAATAAGGATATAAGTTTATATATATATATATAATTATATATGCAAAGATTAATGGGAAATTATTAAATTATGGAGATCTTGATATGGTTCAATGGGATAAAACAATTGGCAATATCATATGGGAGATTACAAGGCACACGTATCCCAACATGATAATGGTCTATAATATAGGGATCTTGATATTATGGGATACCTTCTTGTTTTTTAACAGTGTTCGATGGAAGCCATTACACGTGTTTTTTTTGTAAACATAGTGCTGTTCCATAGTTATGATAAATCACCAAGAGGTACATGGAAAAGGAAAGTGAAGAACAAGCGACGATGATTGACGCACAGCAACCACCACAGCATCACGACCGTTATCATTATCATTACAGAGGATTCTGGGTGAAACTACTTGGTTTCAAAGCACACTTGCTCAACCGGCTTCCTGAATGCCCTTGATCTTCAAATTTTTCAATCTTCAACACTCATGAACATTCTCCATAACCAAATTTCGATACCCTGCCAAACGTAGTCCGCTAACCTGTTATTATTATGTATCCCCATTGAAAAGCTCAAGGTGAAATTATCATTAAGTTTAGGAATTATACCTAAAGTACTGCAGTCATCGATCATTCGCAACACATTTCCCAAAGAACGAGAGACTCGTGAACCACCCAGGCGCAGAGACCCCCACGTTTCGTTTGTTGTGCCTTGTCTTCATGCATATCTTTGATGTCAAGCAAACGTCTTTGCAAGGTTTCTGTACTTTGCAAGAACTCTTCGGCCTGAGGGATCAATTTTGGCACATCAACCTGTCGAGCAAACAACGACCAGCTGTTCAGCAATGCTAAGCACCCCAGCTGTTTGCTTGCTGGACTCGAGTTCTTTTCGTGCCAAATGAAGCTGTTCAGCAGTCTGCGGCGAGATTGATTGGTGCACCAGCCAACGAATGAATGGTCTGGAAGTGGTCTTCCAACAGTCTTCTACAGTTCAGACTTTCTGTCACTTGGCTGAAATCAAAAAGAACAAACCTATCCTGGGGGCCTGGGGGTTGTTTCTTGGAAACTTTCTGAGCCTGTCGAAACATGATTGGGCAGTGCGGCAGTACCAAAACTACACTGGGTCAATTTCGACTTTCTCTACTTATTTGGTGCTTGCAGTGTCACTTTTCTTGCATTTCTTGCTAAGCACATCTTAATAACAACGCACAATTAGCGCGAAACAACGTTAAATCGAGCATGAACATAATCAAATATATACATTCATTAGTGGAATATATATATACTGTATATATATATATATGTATGTATATATAATATATATATATATTATACTTATATAATGGTTCATCCAAAACATTTAAATCCATTATAATGCATGCATACAAGACACTGAACATCGCGGCCGCTCAAGGCTCAAGGCGGCGGCCTCGTCCAGATTCTTCTGCGCCTCCAAGGCTTGCCGTCGATATTCCTACAGCAACTGTCGGATGAGTCGGATCCATCATTGGATTGGTTTAAGGGAAAATCTACAGGAAACCATGGTTTTTACCATCAAATATAAGGCTTTCCTGTAAATTTTACCATCATCCAATTCTATGAATCCATGAAATGATTTGTCCAAACAATATTGGATAATCATTATTGTATGGACAATGGATCCAATATATGATTCGAATATATTCGAATAATTATGATAACTATGATCGTTATTTCCAATCTTTGTGGGACAGTAATATTGATCAATATATTGATCGAATATTTCGGACTGTCCAACTATCCAATATGATCGTTATATTCTTAATCAATCTATATGTATATATGGACATATATTATATAATATATCAACATATTGGATCATTTTTTGGACTGTCCAACTATCCAATATTAATTAGTATATCTTAATCTAATATATATATATATGTATATCATATATTATATAATATATATAATATATATATTATCCAATATGGTCCAATCTTGTCCCAAAAAAAAGGTCCAATGTATTGGAAGATCCTGCCTTCGGTCGCCCCAGGCACCCGGACGCGTTCACTCTTGGTACACCTTGCGAGTTCCGCCTTCAAGCGCTCCTCCTCGTCCAATGCCAAGGCGCACCTGTTTTAACTGGGCGGGCGTCGCGCCGATTCCCTCAATAGGGAGCTCAAATTCACTGAATCTTTCGCCCATAAAAGAGAGGAAGAAGTCAAATCCGATTCACTTAAATGATTTAAATGGTTGCAGAATACATCCAGCAGGATTTAACCAGCAGTTTGAATTTGCAGACCAGAGTATCAAGTCTTCGCTTGGGCACACGTCGATGGGAGCGTGATTCCAATCCATCTCAGACAATTGAGGGATGATATCACTATATAGGAATCTGTATAAAGTAGCAAACAGAATAGAACGCATTCAAAGCAAGATTAGAGCGACGATTAGCAAGGAATATAAGACTTCAAGGAAACGTTGTGCCACCGACATCATAACATTTATGGCATTTCAAAACTGCTTAAAGAAAGACATTGCAGAAAAAACATCGGGGAAGGAGGACAGTCTATACAGGGAACATGTAGGTGCTACCCCATAGTTTGCCCGTCATTGTCTGTCATTTGGTATTCAAAGACATTGCTTCTACTGAATCGACATCACAAAGAATAATGAGTAATGATTGAATATGATTGAATATGATATGATTAAATACCCTCTGGTTATTTAACATAGCCATGGAAAATGGCCCATTTGTAGATGGTTTACCTATTAGAAATGGTGATTTTCCATGGCTATGTTAGTCATAACCAGATGGTATTGATTTTTCAGAATCGGTACATTGCGCCCAGGAAAAGATCCGCCTTTCGGAGAAGGACTTCTGATTGATGTCAGCAGTTTGCTTCTGGACGTCAACTTCGTGTCGAAGAGCTTCGATCTGGAGTCTGAGCAGTTGATATATCAAATACATATACATATACATATGTATATATATATGCATATATATATATACATATACACATATACATATACATATGTATATATATATATATATGTATATGTATAGGTATATGTGTATATATACATATATATATATATGCATATATATATATATATTATATTATATTATATAATTATATATATATTATTATTATTATTAATATTATTATATAATATATAATCATCATATATGATCGAATATTATCAAATGTATATAGAATATATATATATATAATATATCATATATATCAAATATATATATATATCAAATATTAAACTATCAGAAATGATCAACAGTAAGAAGTCCCAAACCCGAGTTAAGGCCTTTTTGGGATGATTCCTTGTAACTCATGGTGAAGTCAGTGAGGCTTACGTAACTCCAACATCATCCAACTAAAATCATGAACGCCCGGCCCAACCTCAGCTTCCAAAGCATCACGTTTGCCCATTTGCTCCAGCAAATCAGCCGTCACCTGTCTTAGATGATGTCTTTGGTATTGTTCATTTGTTCAGGGGTTTAAACATTATGTATATAAAATCTAAAAACTATCAAGCAATTAGGGTCAGTCACATGTAGTTTCCCTGAAAATGGGTATCCAACATGTTAAATAGTTTATGTGGGGTATACTGTACTCCACATTCCGGAGAAAGCAAACAAAACATCATCATGGTATACTGGGTCCCCGGCCCGACAACACACACATATTCAAGACTAGAACGGGGTTATATACTGGGGTGTTGATGAAGTGGAAGATATTGATGATATCAAATCAATTGGCGAACGATGGTTCTTCTTGGGATGACTCATAAATTCATTGACAATCATGATACAGTAACGGTCAACGGCAAATTACTCATCCCTGATTGATTAGAGGCTGTGTGCCCAAAACCCAAACAATGGAACTAGTTATCATCTGCTACCAAAAACTTTTCTTTCCGGGATTTTCTAGGGATTTTACTGCAAAAATGGTGCCAGCCCAATGTTACAGCTAAGGGACCTAGGCGTTTCTTCATCACATGTTTTGATGGTCTCAGGATGGGATGTTTCTGGTGCATCCCAGTAAGTACTGTTTGTTTCTGGTTCATAGCTATAACCTATTATAAATGATTCGTACTATTGTTATCATGTATATGTATGTGATTGTGTATGTGTGAAACATCTTCCATGATTCACTGGTATGCTAATACATAAATATATATATATGTATAATGTATAATGTAATATATTACAAATGATGATATACAGATTAACCTGGAATATATTAGATACATAGATGTGTTAATCTTCCATACTATGTATACACACTGCCACCTCCTCCAGTTTCTGCTCCGCAGCCACTCGTTGTCGAGCCAAGACCTGTGCTCAAAATGATGTGGTAAAGTGGCTGGTAAATGGTGGTTAAATGATGTGGCAAAGCAAATGATGGTAAATGAATGTAATTGCAATGTTTCCATCTTTTTTGGGTGGTCTAGATATGTTTAGATTTTGTTTTATCTTTTTGGGGCTTTCTACAGGTTATCAGCCGATTCTACCAGTTTCTTTGATGCTATTCAGTAAAATAATTGATCCCGAAGCTGATTTCTTGTGCCAATTCTTTTTGGCTCATACCTGTATCGCAGATATCAAAAAGGCACCCCTTTGCAGTGCGAGGCCTTTGTGTGGAGGTCGTGGTTGAATGGAAGGAACCTTCCAATGATTCTTCCAAAAACCCTTGGGATTTCTGTGGTTTAACCGGTTTAACCATCTTTTTATATATATATATATATATCTTTATTTGGTAATCTAAACCTCCATGGCTTGCTGGAAAATCCCTCATTGAGTTCGATGATTTTCCCAGCTGAGTCGGCCAACCTCTCCTCTTTGCCGCTCCTCTGACAGAGCATTCTGGTTCTCATGTGCCTTGACGTACACCTGCCATGGCGGCCACAAAGATGGTCATCATGTCCAAAACAACTAGATGGATACTAAGTACTACATTGGGATATATTGATAGATCCATAGTACTAACTGGTAACTGGATGTAACTGCTATTAAAATGTACTATCCATTACTATCCAGCTCAAAATCAAACTTGGTTCCCAGAAATGGTTTGGGACAAGTTCAGCAAAAATCTGCCAACTCGACCAGTCCCATGCCTCCTGTGCCTGTTGACGACCCGCTGCCAGTGTCTGCCTTCCCGCACCCAGATTTTGGATGGTACTCAACCATCCTAAGCCATCCCTAAAGATCCCAAATTTGGGGTTCAGTTCATGTCATGCCAAATAGGGGTATACCCGTAAACCCAATGCTCCAGGACCCCATGTTTGGAATATTTACACATATTAGTTCAAACCTGAACCAGTTGTGTGAGTAGATATCAGCACCATGGAGCATATGGGACTGGCAAAGCCAATGTTCATTGAACCATCATGGAGGATCATGTTGGGCCGAAGAACTTGACCAAGCTGCTGCCCAAGTGTGGTGTAACAATCTACCTAGGTAAATGACAACAAGAGCTAAAGCACATGCTCTATGAAGTTACTATGATCTTTAGCAAATAAGAGCCAAGGATATCAAACACAGATATTAAGAAAAATATCCTGCACATATCTGCACATTGCATGTGAATCAGAGACGACTTGATCCAATCATATGTTCTCCAAGTCAACTGTATATCAATGCGTTGGATGAAGGGAAACATTACCCTCCGGTAATCGAACATGGCCTGCTGGAAAATTCCACATGTGGAGTATCTTATAGCTGGTTTTCCCAAAGATAAAGCTCCATTTTTTTCGGGGATTTCCCATAATGCCATGCCAATCAAACCAGGGAACTGCATGCGCTCCAGCTGGAGTTTCAACAGCTGATTCTGTTGCGCCAGCGCCTTCCACCAGGCATCGGGCGTTTTTCAGCTGGTGCCATCCCATGGTTGGTGAAGGGAAGCACCGCAAACATGGCAGCCCCAGGCCGCGAAAAGGTAACTAAAATGATCTCAAATACCGTTTAGTAGCCATTTAGACTCAATTCCATAGAACATGTCACACTTATCATAACTTATCAAAACTTAGATATGCATGAATTGTCTATATATATATACACAAATAATTAAATGTATGTGTATATATATATATGAATCCATTCATATATTTTGCATAGATAGTTAGTCGTTATAGAACACCACCCAGCAACCTCACCAGGCAGGCCCGCGGGGCTTAGCTTCACCCAGTGCACCTCATTTTGCTCAACACTCAGGCGGTACAACTCCTGAATCTCCTCCTGTCCCACGAGGCCAGGTCCCCGGTGACTCCGAGGAACAGATTTTTTTCACTTCAGAAAGTGTTTGGTTAAATCACACTGAGCATTATATTATAAGTGTTTGGGATTATATTATTACATTAAATCAGTCACTTCAGAAACCTTATTATCAGAAGATTATGATAAGGAACTAACACTTATAAAGACATTGCTACAACGATTGTCACTTTGTCACTTCGGCACCTTGAAAGGCCTAGACTCCTAGACGACCAACTGCCACTGTGAAAAACCGTCCAGGCCGCGACCTGCTGCTCCTTGGTGTTCAAACTTTGCACCTCGCCTATCGGAAAAGCGTTGCGATTCATGGCGATGAGGAAATTCTATGAGCTGATGAAACATGTATGATACAGAACTGAAACATGTTAAAACAAGACACTATATATATATATATTATTATCATTATTATTATTATTGTTATTATTGTTATTATTATTATGTTTTAAATCAACACAAGTACCATGAAACAAGTTCAGACATATACAATGAAACAACATGTGTAATAGGTGAGTGTATACAATCCACAGATGCATGCAAAACAACGTCTAGTATTTGAATACACAACGTTGTTTGTTTCATCGTTTCTTTCACCATTCAAAACAAAACCATGCTGTGTATATATATATATATGATATAGAACAGGGCAAAATAGAAATATATAATATAGAACCATGTGTATATATATATAATATGAAACTAAATTATACCAAATAAACATCAATAGAAAAACAATAACATTTCATGAAATGAATGAAGAAAAACACTGCACAATAATACAATAAATACAGCACACATTCAAACATACAATATAATACAATGTGATATAATTCAATACAATACAAGGCAATACACTACAATACATTACAATACGCCACACTACACCACAATATATTGTATACAGTATGGAATAATATGCAAAATGAGTCAAAATTCAACAATGTTCCGGAAAGTAATACAATACATGTACATGTAACCTTTACATATGGTCATATATGTATATACATAATTTACACGGTATGATAATCCCCGAAAAGATAAAATAATCATTTTAGCAGGAATCCATGTGTTCCTTTTGGGGGTTCTTGTGTATATATATATATATATATAGCGCCATACGGGTATACATATATATATATACATGTGATAATCCTCAAGAAGATAGAACATCAAAAGTCCAATAATACTCGAATTGCTGTGAAGTTGTTTTTGACATATAGCACCCTCCCAAAAAAAAGATGGAAGAAAGTGTGTCCAGTATGGTTCGATGATGTTTTCTCCATAATCTTCAGGCGTCCAACCTTTCGGCATGGGAGTCGCTGCAGATTCTTGGATTTGCAGGGGTCTCTAAAAAATAATAAACATTAAAAACCACAAAAATGTCCTATATTTTTCCCAAATCCAAGACATTTCCGATGTATTCCCTTGGATTTCCATGAATCTGCTAAATCGTTTCCCTGGAAAAAATGGGACCCAGCTCTGACGCAAAGTGACCTGAGACGCCACCGAGCACCTGAGCATTTCGAAGCTGCTCCTTGGCAGCCCAAGGGAGGGGTTGGATGGGTGAAGCACCAAAAATGCTCAAACATTGATATTTCATGATAAAAATGACCAATGATATGGGAATGCCAAAACATATTTTTTTCTTGAATCCAGGACTAGATGTTGGGGATCATCCCAGGTAGGAAGCTCAAATTGTCTGAGTAACATATGGATGCTCAAATTGTCTAAGTAACATTGGTAGGATGCTCAGATATACCCCCAAATGTCCAGTTTCATAGGAAAAATGATGACAAATCATATGAAATTTGGAAGTACCCTAATTTCGGACCCCTATTGGAACATGAAAAAAACCCTTGAAACCACCAGCCAAACGGCCAAACGTGCGCAGAAGCTCGTTTCCCCATTCGGAGAGCTTGGAAAGTCCCGTCCCCAACCCAATCCCGAAAGCACAGCGGCGGATGCCCAAAAAAGAGCCTCCACCGATGTAACAGGGTAAGTAAACTTCATAATCCCCATTGATTAATGGTTTTAGCTTTCAAGTAGATGATATCCCAAGTTTCCCACCATATTCCAGCTTTCGTTTTGAAACAAAAACAGTTTGGTATGTTGTGGTTCATGTTTGGTCCCAAATGGATATGTGGCCAATATGCCATTCATAAAAAATTATATACCTAATTGATGCATATGATATGATTACCCATTAGCAACTACGATGTATATACTAACAATCGGGGTACAAGCCAGGCAGTCACTTCCAACAAGTTCCACCATAAACTCCCAGTTTGGTGTGGTTTACCCTCTGGTAATCAAACATTGCAATTGAAAATCCCCGAACTAAATGCACATTTATAGCATGTTGTAGCCTTATAGCCACTTATAGATGGAAAAATAATCGATGGATGATTTGGGTGATCCCCCAACCACGTCCCCAAGCACCATCAAGATCAGCACTATCTGGCATCGTTGGTGAAGGGATAACGCAAGTTTAACCCAGATAAATAGTTTCGTTTGCTTGCTCAAACCCCCCCTTAATTGCTGGTTCCCCCAATGTTTGTTGGCTAGAACATGCTAAAACAGTTTTTTGTTGGGAAAATCAATATATATATATATATTAAATTATATGTATATACATGTTGTTGCTCAACATCCTGAATTTGTTGATCAAATCCCATCTTTGTTGGCTAAATTCATTTTTTTGGTTAACAATTAACAATAACACCCAAAATGTGTGCCTTCATCAAACCGCCAATTTTGGGTTGGTTAAAGCCTTCATCTGGTGTCTGAAAATATGCTGCCCTATGGTGCCCCCATTTTCTTGCCAAGTTGAGCCCAAAATTCTGCGTACTGCTTACCGCCTGTAAACATACTAAAAAAAATGCGAAAACCCACCATTTGTAGATGATTTCCGAAACGGGAAACCATGGGCTTTCCACTTCAATGTAAACGTTTACCCCAGGCTATTCCTACCCATGATTGCCTCTGATTCACCGTAAGGAACCACCATGAAATCACCGTTTTACCCCAGGGCAACCTCTGATTTTGGTCGACTTTCCCTCCACGCTTCTGTTCGCTCGTGGAGCTCGCCCCGAAGTTGATCGTTCTCTTTGGCCAGCAGTTGCGCCTGCCCCACAAGCCACAGATGTGGAGTTCAACTGTTGCACAAAGTATGACTTAAACTAACCATAAGACTGCTGCAATCAAACCATAAAAAATGTTGTTTTCAATGACTACACGGATTACATCAACAATGGAGGTTTCATCAACCATGGATACTGGGCTACAAAAAAGGCCCAGTAAGACCTGTTGAGTTTCACCTGGGAGAGTCGGGACATGGGGTAAAGACTGAAAAATCCGAAATATAATATTAATATCAATAAATATAGAAAAGTAATATTAGTAATATTGGTAATATTAATAATATTAGTAATATTACTGATTCCGAAAATAAAAAGTAGATGTTTGATCAATTGTCTCCAAAAAAATCCATCGACCATGGAAACAAGGACATCTAATTATGGAATATAGAATATATAATATATAATATCTAAAATAAATTAAATAAACTATAATCTATAAAAAAAATATTATATAATATATAATCTATAATATATAATATATAATCTCTAATCTATAATATAAACTAAATAATCTATAATAAAGGATATATAATATAGAATATAAAATATATAAATTTATAATCTATAATAAATAATATTTAATCTATAATCTATAATATTTAATATTTAATCTATAATAAATAAAATATAATATAATATATATATAATCTATAATCTATAATATTTAATATATACTCTATAATCTATAAACTATAATCTATAATCTATAATATATAATCTATAATCTATCATATATCATATATAATATATAATATATAATATATAATCTATAATCTATAATATAAAATCTATAATAAAAAATATTCTAAAATCTATAATCTATAATATATAATAAAAAATATAATAAATAATAGATGATATATTATATTAAAAAATATAATATATTATATATAATCTATAATCTATAATATTTAAAAATATAATATAATATATATATATAGTTTATGATAAATAATCTATAATCTAAAAAATACAATATATATAATATATATATATGTTCTATAATAAATAATATAAAATATATAATAAATAATAATTACTATATAATAAAAATATACAATATATAATATATAATATATTATATATGATATATTATATAAAATATATTCTATATTATATATAATCTATAATCTCTAATATATAATATTTAATATATCATATATAATATATAGTATTTAAAATAAATTATCTATAATCTATAATATAAAATATATAATCTATAATCTATAATCGATAATCTATAATCTATAATATATAATATAAAATATGTAATCTATAATCTATAATAAATAATATATAATCTAAAATATATAATATATAATATATAATATATAATATATAATTTATAATAATTAATCTATAATCTATAATATATAATCTATAATATGTAATATTAGTAATATACAATAAATAGTATATAATCTATAATATATAATATTAGTAATATTAATAATATTAGTAATATTACTAATATTACTGATTCCGAAAATTAAAAATATATGTTTGATCAATTGTCTCCAAAAAAATCCATCGACCATGGAAACAAGGACATCTACTTATGGAAGTGAACTCACCACGCTTAAACCCATGCCATGATTCACCACTATTTATACCAATTGAAGCAAATATTAACCATCATCAACATCCATTAACCATTATGAAAACCATTATTATTCCATTATTAACAAATTATTAAGCATTATGACCCATTATTAATCCATTATTGACAATTTGTTAACCATTATTAACCATTATTAATCCATTATAAACAATTCACTAATCCATTATTAACCATTATTAACAATTCATTAATCCATTATTAAACATTATTAATACATTATTAACAATTTATTAACCTATATATTAATCCATTATAGATCCATTATTAAAAAATATTAACCATTATTAATCCATATTAACCTCAAATATGGCAGTGTGTCAAAACCAAAAGTACCCCTTCTGTTCACATCAAAATAGCTGGGATTTATGGATGTTCATCCCCCTAAAAATGGTATTCATAGGTATTGATCCATTATCAACCATTATTAAATCCATTATAGATCCATTATTAAAAAATATTAACCATTGTTAATCCATATTAACCGCAAATATGGCAGTGTGTCAAAACCAAAAGTACCCCTTCTGTTCACATCAAAAGAGCTGGGATTTATGGATGTTCATCCCCCTAAAAAATGGTATTAATAGGTATTGATCCATTATCAGCCATTATTAAATCCATTATAGATCCATTATTAAAACATATTAACCATTATTAATCCATATTAACCTCAAATATGGCAGTGTGTCAAAGAAAATAGTACCCCTTCTGTTCACATCAAAATAGCTGGGATTTATGGATGTTCATCCCCCTAAAAATGGTATTCATAGGTATTGATCCATTATCAGCCATTATTAAATCCATTATAGATCCATTATTTAAAAATATTAACCATTGTTAATCCATATTAACCTCAAATATGGCAGTGTGTCAAAACCAATAGTACCCCTTCTGTTCACATCAAAATAGCTGGGATTTATGGATGTTCATCCCCCTAAAAAATGGTATTAATAGGTATTGATCCATACCCAACTAGTTCATGGCTTTGGCAACTTAGAAAATTATGGGGCCCATTATCAACCGTTATTAAATCCATTAATAGATCCATTATTTTTTAAAAAAAATATATATCCATTATTAATCCATTATTAACCTCAAATATCACTCGTCACAGAAACCAGTCACTGCTCGCGGCTCACTTCACCGGAGCCTGTTCCGCGAGGCTCACCGAACGTTCGATGACGGCTTCGAGCTCGGCAATCCGCTCCTGCTTCGAGGGCCAACGATGGGCCATGGAACAGGGTTTTTAACGGGAAAACCATAGGAAAACCATAGGAAAATGGAGGTTTACCCTCTGGTAAACTCACATAACTATGGAAAATCAACATTTTTCATGGGAAAACTCACTACAAATGGCCATTTTCAATAGTCATGTTAAATTACCAGAGTGTAGGATTTTTCAGGTGTTGTCCATCTTTATCCAACAAACAACCGACAAAGATGGGGATCTAACATGATCTAAACATGAAAAATCAATCTTTATCCAACTATGTGGATTTAAACAGAAACAGATTGGATTTACCTAACACCAAATTGGTGATTGACATAAATAAATATATATATATAGCTAAAAAACATTGGGATATCAAACAAAACCGGGCCTTTAGCATGATTAACCTCGGATTGGTTTAAATATTTACAGGAGAGGATCAGCTTGGGAGGTGGGTGGAGGTGTATACAAACATGAGGAATACGGCAGCGACAAAGAAATTGAGGGCCATTCAGGGCCGTTCATGGTCTATGGTTGTTCTAGTTTCAAATACGTTCGAAGATCCTGTGTGTACGGAAACCAATCCGTTGGATTCCGTTCGTACTTGTGCTACTCCCATTCCTTTCTCATGCTGGTTCAAGTACGCAATCACACTGAGAGAATCGTGTGAGTTGGACAGTATGACAGTAACCCTTAAATTCTCACGGTGATCATCATTTTCCCTCCGGCACAGCGTAATTATCCACGATGTTTGGACGTTTCACCGTCCAGGAAGGGGACCTCGTATGCGAACAAGAGCGGAGACATCATCTGCATATTTGTTGCCCATGGTGGCAGAGGCAAATCCTGGGGCACCAGTGATGACCCATGGGTATGGCATAGGGGTAAGAAAAATCGGGGCATATGCCTTAGCTCTGGTGTCATCAAACATGGCTAGGAACCTCCATTCAGTTCGGGGATCTTCCCGGCAGACATGTTTCATTGCCGGAGGGTATACTTAAATATACTGTATAATAGACATACTAAATATATTTGAATATGATATAATATACTAGTATAACATAAAATAATAAAATAAAATAGTATAGCTATATCTCAAATATAATAGATATAGTTAGAGATCATATGATATGATACTTGGAACATCGATTGGAAAAAGGGTGAAATCTGAGGCATCTGCGTCTTCCGGAGTAGCTGCTGGTTGAGGACGAGATTGTTGATACCTTGTAGCTTCAGCAAGGGGTTGCTTCAGGTATCCCCCATTCCATCTGTGAATGATACATCTGTGTGTATCGACATCTCTCTATGGCTAAATTATAACATGAACAGCTATTTTGGGATAATTCCCCTTAATTATAAACATTTATTTCAATTATGAGGATGAGGTCACTATTTGGTAGGTGACTATTTGGGCTGCGAAGGTGGAAAATAAGAAACCATAAGAAAAAATATCAAAACATGAAAAATATCAAACAAAAAATACACATAAAAACAACTAAAAACACATAAGGAAAAATAAGAAAAATAAGAAAACATAGGAAAAATAAGAAACATAATAGGAAACAATAAGAAAAATAAGAACACAAAAAAATAAACAAAGAACATGAAAAAAATAACACATATTTAAAAAATAATCGGGCCCTCCAAGGATTTTTCTTTTAAATGTTTTAAATTGTTTTTATTGGTTGCCCTCCCAGTTGGTGCCCTACTAGATAGCGCGCTGGTTCTCACATAAGATTATTAAGCATGCTATTCCAGTGAGATCGCACTGAGTTCGTTATAGTTTACACAGAATCCGTGCCACGGTCCAGCACGGATCGTCAACGTGGCTTCGTCCAAAAAATCAACGGATGGCATGAGGTTTCCCGAAGAAATGTTCGGAAGCAATGCTGCATTTTGGTTTGTTGCTGAGATAAAGTGAGAGACCTTTGGGTATTTCTTGTATATTTCTGTTGCTTCATCCTGTGCATCTCCCGATGGACTTCGGCGAACTCGCCTTCTGAGCTCGCGCGTCACACGGTCAGCATAATCTTTCAACTCCCTTTTCTCTTGCACCAGGCGGGTGAAGTGTTCCTGCCATGGGTTGCAGGTTGAAGCTGGTTACACCGACCATCAACTGGCATGAGATCATTGAAGTCCTGGTGCAACCAATGGAGACAAAACATGCTTATGAAGTGTTATTTTAAGGATCGTTTGATAACTGTATATATTATATACAGTATGTATGTATATATATATATATATATTTAAATACATATCATATTATATATATACATGTGTGTTTAATATAAAGGACATTTGGAGTACCGAAACACTGCTGAACATCCAGGGGCTTTTGCATACCAATGTGACCACAAAGACAACATATCGTCAAGGTTCGCAGCCATCGGTGTCCCTGAAATGGAAAAAACATGTGGATCATGACTTTTCCACTGCCACATATCAAGAAAAATCAACAAAATCCGCATTCATTGTTTGAAGTATATCAAATTCCACATTGCTTCACCACGAAACTCGCCAACTATTGTCGAATTCATTTTGTTTGCCTATAATAAGATCCAACATTTTTCGTGAAAATCCAGGTCTGGAAACAAGGTACCCCATGCCCACGTATCATATCAAGTGGGTTGATACTTAATTATATGCCCAAAAATCATGAATACCGTAAATAGATTTAATGTGTTACTGCTTACAGTATAATCCACAATTTTTGCTGATTAAATCCCCATCAAGTGACAAGTATCATTGCAAGTATCACTGCCTACTTGCGTGTGCATATACCACTTGGTAAGTGGGCAAAATACATCAAAATACCCCCACGGAATATCCCCTATTATATTGATGGGATTTAATCTTTATGTATATATATATATATAATCATATATAATCTTAATATATATATATATATATATGGATTAAAAACCACTTACTAAGTATAACACATCTGGGTTATATATGGATTATGGGTTCTCAACCTCAGATCCGATTCGTGGGATGCAATCGAAGTATGCACCAGCCTGGAGCTCAGGAGGTGCCGAGGGCGGCAAGGTCAATGGCTCCTGCTTTATGCTTGGCGTTTTGGAGATTATCTATCTATATCTTGTTTAAAAAAGGTTGGAAGATTACTATAAATAACGACTCTCTCTCTCTCTCTACCTATATATATATATAATGACTATAAATAAATATATATATATATAATGACTAAATATATATGTATACAACAACTTTTTGTGTTTTTTTTTGGTTTTGTTTTGAAGATAGCAGATAGCAAATGGTTGACCTTGCAATGAAACAGTCAATGAACTATAAAAAAAAACATGTGGGTCCTGGTGGGGGGCTGAGCACACATATGCAAATGACTCTATGACTATATTTTCACATGTATATACATGGAACACTTTAGTAGCAATGAAAACTAGTGACGATAATGATACTGATGCACCTTCAGAAAGAATTGGGAATGGCTATCCACCAAAAATCCATTGCGCTAAGCGGCATGGTGATCCTGAAAGGCGATTTTAAAACAACAATTCAGATTTAAAATCTGCAGATTCTGGAGGGGATCATGTAATTTGTTTCTCAAATCCGCAAGGATCTGCCACAACAAATCCCATCCAAGAATTGCTGCTCGATCGGCCTGTGCGGTGCCAGCAGATTGCCTCAGACAATGAAGCTCTGCCAGAACACTGACCGAAACGCACGCGCGTAGTAGTTGGACCACGTTTTCCCCGTGTGTTGAACAATGAAACGTCACTTAAATATTAAAGCAATAGACAGGCGAGTAAAGACCATGTACCTAGAAATTTCATGATACGTCTTTGCCACAACTCCGGTTTTCATAAGGATCACTTTCGAACAGAACATGTTGATATTGTCGAAATTGGGACTCAGAGTATCCATGGGTCAGACTCCAACGATGAAACATGCTTTCCTACAACAATATGATACCTAGAGTAAACTAACATAACATATATATAGATGTGGAAAACCAATCGTTCCCTAGAACAATGATACAGGAGGCTAGTAACGGCTAGTAGAGGATAATGAGTGTTTCATTTTCTGGGCTCACGGGTCACAACCCTTGGGGCGGTGCATCCCAGTAAATGCTTGCGAAGGAGAACCCATGTACAGCTGGGAATCTAATCTACCATGAATCAATAACATGTCTTATTTGTTAAGAATTTTGAATCTGTTGTATATACAGTGTATATATATAACATAACCATTATATTACAGTATATGTAAATAAGTATATATATATATATATTATGCCTGCTATTTAGCAAACAAATCTGTTTTGAATATGGATGTACTACAAATATCCACAAATACACGATGCGCGACCGCGACCAGCATCGTTGCTGAGGAGATGGCCCTCTCTGCGCAGTGTCTGCATAATCCGCCAGGAAACGCTCTGAAATGGGTTCCATGCCTTGCCAAAAAGGCCGAGAATGGGTGGATGGGTGGATAGAAACAGTGGTTCTCTAAATGTTGGACATTAAGTTCAAAACGGAAAACAACATCTAAATGTTTGGATCTTAAGATTGAGGGAATGATAGCTATGAAGCAATAGGAACACATTTAGATACATTTAGAATGATCGCGAACGATTTTTGGTGGGTCCTGCAGATTTTCCCCCAATTCCGGGATGACCAGCGAAAATGTCCCAAGGTACTACGGTACTAGGTATAGTGACTAGTGATTAGTTGTTACACTTATATACTATGGGCATAACTATATAGTACTATATACTAGTGATTAGTTGCTCGTTATATTAGTTTTAAAGTTTTATATTAATGCTTGTACTACGATAGTGATTAATTAGATGTGATTAGTCATTCGTGTTAAAACAATGTTGTGGTCGCACATGCGAAGAAGGCAACATTAACTATTAACTTGTTATCATGAACCAACCGAAGGACATTGTTGGAGGGTTCAGAGGGTTCTCTCTATCACAATCGACGGGCATCCCAGACACCGTGTATAATATATATATATATATATTAGCTTTTTTTAAAGTCTCGTAAAAATAGTTTTGTTATCTAGCGTACGTGTAGTGACGAGTGACATGAACGGGGGTATGAACGTGTGTGTGAACGACATGCGTGCGAGTGAACGTACGTGCGAACGTGTGTATGTACGAGTGAGCGTACGTGCGAGCGAACGTGTGAGCGTACGTCCGTGCGTTTGCACGGTCACTCGCCACGCGCGCGCGCACGTACGAAAATAAGGTCGACTTGAGTCGACCTTATTTTTGCACGACCCTGCCTCTTTAGTATTGATTTAGTATTGTAGCGCTTTGCACGTACAGAAATAAGGTCGACTCCAGTCGACCTTATTTTCGTACGTGCGCGCGCACGCGGCCAGTGAACGTGCAAACGCACGCATGTACGCGCACACGTCCGTCCACTTGTACGCACACGTCCGTTCACTCGTTCGCTCACACGTGCACTCGTCCGTTCACTCGTTCGCCTTACGTTCGTCACCACGTCCGTTAGCCACTCGTACCCCCTACGTTCACCGCGTCTCTTGGAGCTTTAAAAGCATTGTTTACGAGGCTTTAAAAAAAGATAATATATATATATATATATATACGCTCGGGGCCCTAGGTTTCCGCAGAGTATCTTGGTTCTCATTGATCCATATGTCAAAAATCATTGTTTCGCCACAGCGAAATGTGGATTTTGCACATTCTTCTTTTTCTTTCTTTAATGACAATGTTACGGAGCTAAATTTTTAGGCCCGCGCAAGTTGCATGTTATGACATGTTATCCACAGTACATGTCAATTGTGATTTTCACGTTTTCCTACACGAAATACCACTTTTCATGAATTTCTTTGTTTTTTTATCCGGAATTATCATTTTTTTACTGCGGCACGTGGGGTAATATGAAGAGGTGTCTTTTTTATTGGTATTTGCAGTGAATTTTAACGTTAGCATGAATCGGCACATGTTGATAGTCAGCCTTTTTTTGCTCGTTGTTGCTTCAACTTCATCAGCCCGCTGCAACATGTTTTTTTCCAAAGTTTCTGATTTTCTTGTTTTCCCACACGAAATAGCGCATTTCATGAAAGTCGTTGTTTTTTGTAAGCAGAAAAGTACTGTTTTGACTGCCGCTCGTGGTGTAATATGAAGGGCTGTTTGCTTTTTATGTTAGCAAAACGGTTGACATATTGATAGTCACATTTTTTTCTCGTTGTTGTTTCCGTCAACACGTCAACACCCTGCTGCAACATGCTGCAACATGTTCTTTTTCAAAGTTTCCACGTACCATGAACATGACGTTAACATGCCCCACCCCACCCCGCCCCACCCATCAACGTACCATGAACATGACGTTAACATGCCCCACCCCACCCCTCCCATCAACGTACCATGAACATGACGTTAACATGCCCCACCCCACCCCACCCATCAACGTACCATGAACATGACCTTAACATGCCCCACCCCACCCCTCCCATCAACGTACCGTGAACATGACAACATGCCCCACCCCACCCCTCCCATCAACGTACCATGAACATGACGTTAACATGCCCCACCCCACCCCACCCATCAACGTACCATGAACATGACGTTAACATGCCCCACCCCACCCCTCCCATCAACGTACCATGAACATGACGTAACATGCCCACCCACCCCACCCATCAACGTACCATGAACATGACCTTACATGCCCCACCCCCCCCTCCCATCAACCGTACCATGAACATGACGTTAACATGCCCCACCCCACCCCACCCGTACCATGAACATGACGTTAACATGCCCCACCCCACCCCACCCCTTGCGGAAACCTGGGGCCCCGAGGGTATATATATATATATATGGTTGCCATGTTATGTTGTTTATTGAGATGCGGTGATCCAAAGTTGCATCAGACTGGAATCTCGCACTATAGCAAATTCTTCAATAACTCTATGGCCAATCTTGGATATTCTGCAACACAATATATTTTAGTTGGTTTGTATACATCCGGATGTATCCTGATTTACAGAAGTACCGAAATCAAAGGTTGGCCTTGTTAAAACATGCGTCTTGGTGTTGAGCATGGGGTTTATACCGTACTCCGCTACTCGGGTTCGTTCATATCCACGGTTAATATCCACGGATACTATCATTTACTATCATATACTTATCGTATACCCATGATGATACCAATCCTGATTGAACCAGTTGTATCCAACTCCTCTATCCCCAAGCATAATGCCTCGTGGGAAAATCCACAACATTCCACAACCATGTCTCGTGGTGGAATAACCATTTTTCACGATTATACCCTCCGGTAATCAAACAAGGCAACTGGAAATCCCCTATAAATGGAGGTTGCAATGGAAAAACATCTATAAATGGAGGAAATTCAATTGCCAAGTTTGATTGTCGGAGGGTAAATGGACGTTTCCTTAAACTAGGGGTACCCCAAGACCATGGGTTTCAATACTAAAGTGGTCTAATTCTGCATGATTTGGGGTACCCATATTTTTGGAAACCCACAAAATCATCAATTATCAACCCAAGTAGAAAATCAACTGGGCATAACCACCCACCAACTGAATCTGAGCAACGAACCCGAAGAAACTCTGTAGCAGTTCCAACCATGGACGTCTACGGAAGGTACATCACTGCATTGTTTTTTTTGTGGCAACTTAGGAGTTTGTGAACCAAAAACCTCAATTATCATGATTTTCAAAATGGTATCATGATTAAAGCTAAACTTGCAATATCTCTGAGTGCTTTCCTGTGCATGTGCACTCCGCATGGACCAGAATGTTATTTCTTGTACTCACGCCTCCTCAGCAAAGATTTTCACCTGTTGAAAATGGCGATGTTCAATAGCAAAGTGTTAAGGTACCAATTGTATTGTTGTTGCCAATACCCTGTTGACACTGTTTTCTGCTCATACCTTGGCGATTTCAGAAACAGATCCTTGAGCAGCGGGAATCCCACCCAATTTCAATTTGCCCAATTTAGACCAAATCCAACGCTTCAGCACAGGATGGTCCTAAAACGAAATAGTTGCGAAATCCGGCATTATAGGTTGCTTTCTATGTTCCGCTATTTTTGGGGCATCTGCTCTTTCTGCAGCATATGATTCATGAAGGCGGGTCCCGAATTTTTGGATAATTCATGGTCAATAGCCTGTCCATGCTGGTGGCCAATACCCTATTCTGAATAGAACCATGAGACCCAACTAGCCACCATCACCAACACCACCACCACCACCAGCATCATCATCATCACCACCACCACCAGCATCATCATCATCATCATCACCACCATCATCACCATCATCACCATCAACATCATCATCACCATCATCACCATCATCATCATCACCATCATCATCCATCATCCATTATCCATCATCCATCATCCATCACCACCATCATCATCACCATCATCATCACCATCATCATCATCATCACCATTACCACCATCATCATCATCATCAACATCATCACCATCATCATCATCCTCCCCATCATCACCTTCCAATCAGTTTACATCCAGCAAAAAAATGGGTGAAATCCCCAAATCTGTTTGACAATGTTTGACATATGTCCAGCAGCTACTGTACACTTATGGCCACAGTCGAGGCCCCCCATCTGCCCGCATTCTGCGCCCGTCAAAGTCTTTCATCGATGCCTCAAATCGAAATCGTCGCGCGATCGTCGCTGAAGTCAGGCTTGGGCCTGGCTGAAGTCAGAGGCCTCATGGTAAATCCAATGCCATAAACGCACCCCCAAGTCATCAGCATATGTATGGGATATTTACCATTCCCCAGTCATGGTACTTGTTTATGACAGCCAGGGTTTCCCACATTGGATATGTTGCTGCTTAGTCTATATACAGTATATTACACCGCCATTCGTTTGGCAAAATATTGGAATATGTTAAAGTACCCTTGAGTGATCTACCGATCTACCCAGACGGGCCAAATGCGATGTTAAACAATTTTCCAAACTGCCCCAGTCATGGGCCATTTACCATACCCCACGTTAATATAAACACCCAAAGTGTCTTTAACATAGTACAAGCACCCGTATGCACCAGTCATTGAAATGCGGCGACTTACAATTGAGATCGAAGGAGTATCGGTCTCGACCGTAGTGATCCTGCGCCCAATTTTTGGACCCGCAGATGTTACGATTGTGGATGTACAAAATCTGAAATATTCATAAATATTCACTATCAAAATTTATTGAAATATAAACATATTATTAAATTAGCATACTATAGCATACTGGTATTGGGTAGCCTGGGTAGTACCAGTACTGAATAAATGCCCCTATGTGGTCTTGGGAGACCGTCCATTTTGAGACCAACCCACTCTGAGGTCCTTGGCCTCACTTTGGAACTGCCCGCAGTATCGGATCCATTCTCCCGAAGGTGGCCCTGCGAAGAAGCACACGGGATTCTCTACAAGAGATACCGTACCCAGAAATTGCAATTTGATGAAATTTAAATGAGAACATGATGACGAATAAAAGGATTTTGTTTGATCAAATTCAGACCCACCCACTCACCCACACCACTTTGCTTCATTTCTCCCAAAGATGCAAAGAAGTGCAAAGACATGGAAAGAGGACAGAACCGCTCTTAGGTTTCCTGAGAATTGAGTGCAACAACTGTCTCTGAAGCCCCTCTTCACGGTAATGTAGAAAACCGTAGAATCAACCATCCCATTACTCAGTTGGTGGCCATCTGACATCATTCCAAGAAGGGGTATACCGGAAAATACAGTAAATCCCAATGAGGCACAATTTATGTGTGCTTATGTATTCTTGGGTTTACCTATAAAATAATATATATATACAATGTGGGGCCCCCAAGTTAACTTGAAGTTAAAATACATATAAATCGAGTTAGAGAAGTTAACTTGAAGTTATGTTAACTTATCTTAGCACTATTTATAACTTAAGTTATATCTTTGCTAACTTTTTTGGATGGTTTTTTGGTCATGATTATGAGATTTTCGTCGTTTCACGGTTGTTTTGGAGAACCCTGTGTCCGCCGCGCTTTTTTGACGCTGCCAGGTGGTGATTTATCACGGAAGGCGCATGACCGTATCACTTTTAGTGTTGGTCCAGGCCGGCACATGGAAGTTCGCCAAGGACCGGTGGTCCACTATTTCCCTATCGTTGCTTCGCCGGAAGATTCTGTACGAATCCCCATGGCGAATCGGCGCCAGCTTTGTGATGTACACATACAAGCGGCTGCCTTTGTGCAAGAAAAAGTGAACACGCTTCTTGCAGGTTTTTGCCGAAGAGAAGGCAATCGTTTTCTTTAATCTCCACCATTTTGCCGTTTAGTCTCCCAGAATGGGATGGGTTCGCCTGTCGGCCAATTCTTCTATCCTGGCAACATTGTATCCTCTCAGCTCCCAATAAGCGAGAGGATGGTACTCACCACACTCACCTTCCCGGTCAACCCGGGATGACGAGTGAATCATGTTCTTCTTCAGCACGCCTCTGGCCTGCGAGAAGGACAGCCGCGCTCCGCTCGAGAATCTTGGTAAAAGGCCACCACATCATCTTCAGTGAGGCACGAGGAAAGCTCAATGCCATGACGAGCGAGCTGTCCTTTCACAGCGTGACAACTCTTGCACGTCCAACGCAGGTCTTCTCGAACTTGGGGGTGCAGATGGCTTCATCCCTCTGCACAGACGAGGTATACAGCGTCGACAGATCACCTTGTCTTCGACCGTAGGCACGTCCGTCGCCATGGCGCCCTCAGGCGGAGGCGCCTCAGCGGCTGCCTCTGCGCAATCCGGCTGCGATGCAGGCACTTCCACGGCATCCTGCGTCGGATCCGGAATCTCTATAGTTGGCACCTCTGTCATTGTAAGCCAACAGAACAGCAATGGACAATCGCGACGCTCCCTTGCGATTCCTGAAAAAAGCTGCGGTAAAGTGGTCATGTAGGAAACACAAAGAAACTCATTTTTGACTCATTCGCGTTTCCACGACACTTCTTTTATAGGTCGGAAACACATACGCGTGCCCGGTCAAACATATGGTTTCAGTTGAAAACACATTTGCGTTTCCCTTCTATGCTGGAAACACATCCCCGAACTTAGACTCAGAGTTATCTCAAGGAAACACATTTTTGACACATACGCGTTTCCAGCCTTCTTTTTTATTACTAATAGGAAACACAAGCGCGCTCCCAAGCTTGCTGGCAAGTAAAGTGGGAAACACTAACGCGTTTCCGATGTTTTTTAGAATTCTTCCTGGAAACACACCTGCGTGTCCCAGAAAGTCCCTTTTTTCTGTCGCGGGTTCAGTTTCTATGGTCGGTACAGAAAGGTCCATGCAAGTTTCTACTGGAAAGACTTGCCAGCCGTTTCCATGGCTGTCTTGAGCAGCGCTACCATCAGTTCCTTGTGGTGCCCTGCGGCATCTGCAGCCGCAGCTGCCTTTCCAGGAGCTTTGCCTTCCGCCTTCTGCGGTGGCACAGCTTTCTGAGCAGCGGCTCTCACCAGCGTTGATGCAGGCTTGTCGCCAGCAGATCCCGTGCCCTCAGGCGCGGCCGCAGCTTTCACTTCCGCGTCTCCAAAAATTTGCAGATTCGGCAATAGCGCATCAGGCTGCCTGACTGCCGTCTGCCCACCCATGGCAACGGCAAAAATTGCAACCGTCTGTGCCATTTGCAAACCTGCCAGGCGAGGATCCGGAAAGCCCTGCAGGGCCAGCGTGTTCTGCTGATTCCCCAACTGCCTCTGCAACTGCACCTCGCGATGTGTGTTCCGCAAAGGAATGGTGCGGGCAGTTTGCCAGACCACATTCAAATCCACAGACATGGGAGGAGCAGCGAATCCGCCAGGGGCCATCGCCTCTGCCACATCGCTCGGCAACTCTGCCACCTGGTTGGGCAACAACTCCAAATAGCGACCTGCTGGCAATGGAATGCCAGAGTGTCCAGCCCGTGTCACTGTTGTCTTCAAGACACTCTTGACCGTTTGTAGCAACGTCAGCAGCTGTGGAATTGTCAAATTGTCCTGCTGTCCCACCAGCGAGGCAATGACAGCCATCGATGGTTCCGTCGGATGACGCATTCCAAGGTTGTTCACTAAGTGCCGAACCAAGCGATCAACCCGACTCACTTGAGACATCTTCCGATCAGCAAGATCAGCAAGAGCATCCCAAATTTCTTGTGACAGATATAAGGGAAAACTCCTATAGTCCTGCATGCTCGCCCTGCGCAATTGCTGGCTTTCAACCTGCGCCATGGCCACCTCCTACAAGAAGCCGGTTTGAGCCATGAAAACCAACGGATATTCTGTTTTTCAAAGTAGATGCATCCATTTTGCAACAACAAAAAGCTAACTTGTCTAACTTGTCTAACTCGTTTTTGCTTCAACCTGCTATCTCAAGTTATATCTTGGCCAACTTTATACATAAGTTAACATAGTTATAACTTATGTTGCCCCCACTTATAACTTGAGTTACCCCATGTTATAACTTAACTTATAACTAGGGGGCCCCACATTGTATATAACTCACCAGTATCATGTTGTTTATGTATCCCATTTAATCCCATATCATATCACATCATTAATGCCCATGAGAAACCACCATAGAACACAGTGCCTCATCACGTCTTTGTTGGTGATAAACCAACGTAAAACATCCCAACATTGTCGGGTTTACCATCTATTCCTCCGTCATCTACCCTCTGGTAAACTAACACAGCTATGGAAAATCACTATTTTCATAGGTAAATCAGCTACAAATAGGTCATTATCTATAGCAAACTGTTTGTTTACCAGAGGGTAAACATCCCAACCTTGGCCGAACCTGCTTCTTCGGTACGTACCAAAAGACCTCTCCATCATCGTTGGAGATGATCCGAGGTTGACTGGCAAGAGAACTCGCGCGGCCAGCGCGGGGATCTTTTCTACTCGTTGATAGGATATCAATGGATATCATGCAATTAGAATTCCTGTGAAGTATATATATCTGGTGAATTATAACTTAATTCTATACACATCTCACTTTTCTTTCTCACACACAGAAGTATTACTTACAAATTATGGTTGTAGAGTTGTAGATTGTAGAATTCTCACATTTTTCCAGAACATTGTCACAACCTAGAATCTCCATATAGAAATTCATGGCATCAGGATCTGACCTCGCTGCGGCGGTGCGGTGCTCCCTGTTTCGCTGCTTACCATCATGTGTCGATGATCTCCCTGTGATAGAATTGAGTGATGCTTCAAGAATTGATAAAGACCTAGGATTGACCTATTTCATGGTTCAATCCCCAATAATTTACCCAGATTAGATGATATCATATAAACCTGGCAAGCCAAAAACCCAAACTTTTCTGGTCATGACGGGAAAAAAACGTAACGTACAGTTTTTTTGTCGAAAATTGTTTTACCGTATAGACCAGAAAAAAATGTCAAATCAAAAGAACATTGCAGTCCTACCGTAGCAAAACCGTATCTTTTCAAAATTTTGTTGAAAAACAAACGTAATTAAACCGTAGCAACTCTCTCTCACACAAGCCTACCCGTAGCAAACTGTATTTTTCCGACATTTGGTTGAAAAAAGGCCGTAAAAAGCCGTAGCAACTCTCACACAAGTGGATCCAAAGAATCAAAGCCATAATGATCAAAAAATGGTCAAGGCCGTTTGACCAAATTAAAGGACCGGATAACCCCACAAGTCAACTTCTTCCAACAAGCAACAAAAGAAAGGCAAAGACGGCATGGGGTAAGCAAGAAAGAGAAAAGAGATGGTGAAGGATTGGTGTGGAGTAAGTTATGTGTGGACGAGTATGTGTGAGTAAGTTGTGTACGGATGAGTTGTGTTTGTGGGTGAGGTGTGTGGGTGTGCGTGTGTGTGTGTGCGAGTATGTGTGTGTGGTGTGCGGCCACGATCAAAGATGCCCCACGCCAGGAAGTGCGGCGAAGGGCAATCGATGCGTGACCATTGATTATGTGTCCGCAAACGTACAGCGCAGACCATCACGAAAACGGATGGCCCACGACTGGCGTTTGGATGATGTGTGTGTGTGTGGGTGTGTGTGTGTGTGCGTGGGCGTGTATGTGTGTGTGTGTGTGTTTGTGTTTGTCTGTGTGTGTGTTTATCTGTGTGTGTGTGCGTGTGTGTGTGTATGTGTGTGTGTGTCTGTGTGTGTGTGAGTGCGGGTGTCGGCGTGGACCATGTACGCGATGAGGTCAGTACCTGGCAGGTAGTATCAGAAGTTGCGATCACGCTGAAATTGCAACAAAACAGCTGTCCATGGACAGTGCAGAAACAGCAAGTGACATACAAATAGCTGCAACTGTTTGCACAGAACCTGTTCTGAGCTGGGACGAACGCCATCTTTTCTTTCGATCACATTTGCATCGTGTTCAGGAGCATATAGTGTTTGTCCTGGCGCAACTGCTGAATAACGGTGGCATTGTGGTTGCCAAAAGCATTCAGCAGTTACGGCAGGAGGACTTAGCATCAAATGTATCTTCGCACGGCGCGTCAATCGATGTCTTTGTTCTCAACTCTCAGTTTGTAAGTACGTCCGAGACCAAAAAGGAGTAGATGAAAATCCAGAAACAGTCTCCATCCAGTCTGCCTGTAGTGATACCATTCTGGCAGACTGCATGCATGCTTTCCAGTGCTCCGACAGCTGTTATACCGCAAGAGTCTGCATCCGGTCTGCAGTGAAAAATCCAGAAAAATCCTCCATCCACGTGCCTCGATTGCATCAAACCTTGACGCAGAGCAAACACAGGAAACCCAGGGTCTCTGCCTGGACCGTCCAGCCACAGACGCCAGAATGCGATGCAACAGGCCGACAGAAGAAAGTAATTAAACATGTCAAAATCAAACATGCCAAAATCAAACATGCCGAAGCACGCGGAACGAAGAAACATGCCGGAAGGACCGCATCTTTACATGCAAACCTGCCACGCAAAGTGCCGCGGCGTCACAGGCGCCCAAGCCGGTCCAAGCGCGCCACCCAGTGCCATCTGTCCCACACCTGCCACGCAAAACGACGGTGGATGTGACTTTGTGCCACGCCTGCCACGCAAAGTGCCGCGGCGTCACAGGCGCCCAAGCCGGTCCAAGCGCGCCACCCAGTGCCATCTGTCGCACGCCTGCCACGCAAAACGACGGTGGATGTGACTTTGTGCCACGCCTGCCACGTGAAATGAAGGTGGATGTCAGGTTGTGCCACGCCTGCCACGCAAAGTGCCGCGGCGTCACAGGCGCCCAAGCTGGTCCAAGCGCGCCACCCAGTGCCATCTGTCGCACGCCTGCCACGCAAAACGACGGTGGATGTGACTTTGTGCCACGCCTGCCACGTGAAACAAGGTGGATGTCAGGTTGTGCCACGCCTGCCACGCAAAGTGCCGCGGCGTCACAGGCGCCCAAGCCGGTCCAAGCGCGCCACCCAGTGCCATCTTCTCGGCCGCAAAACGACGCTGGATGTGACTTTGTGCCACGCCTGCCACGTGAAAGAAGGTGGATGTCAGGTTGTGCCACGCCTGCCACGCAAAGTGCCGCGGCGTCACAGGCGCCCAAGCCGGTCCAAGCGCGCCACCCAGTGCCATCTGTCCCACGCCTGCCACGCAAAACGACGGTGGATGTGACTTTGTGCCACGCCTGCCACGTGAAACGAAGGTGGATGTCAGGTTGTGCCACGCCAGCCACGCAAAGTGCCGCGGCGTCACAGGCGCCCAAGCCGGTCCAAGCGCGCCACCCAGTGCCATCTGTCCCACGCCTGCCACGCAAAACGACGGTAGATGTGACTTTGTGCCACGCCTGCCACGGTGAAACGAAGGTGGATGTCAGGTTGTGCCACGCCTGCCACGCAAAGTGCCGCGGCGTCACAGGCGCCCAAGCCGGTCCAAGCGCGCCACCCAGTGCCATCTGTCCCACGCCTGCCACGCAAAACGACGGTGGATGTGAGTTTGTGCCACGCCTGCCACGTGAAACAAAGGTGGATGTCAGGTTGTGCCACGGATGTCACCAAGTGTGTTGTGTGGTGTGTGAATTGTCACCAAGTGTCTTTTGGTTGTGGTGTGTGTGTGTGAATGTCACCAAGTGTCTTTTGCGCGCGTGTGTGTGTGTGTTGTTGTGTTGTTGTGTTGTTGTGTGTGTGTTGTTGTGTGTTGTGTCTGTTGGTGTGTGTGTGTGCGTGTTGTGTGTGTGTGTTGTTGTGTGTTGTGTCTGTTGGTGTGTGTGTGTGCGTGTGTGTTGTGTGTGTGTTGTGGTGACAAAGTGTATGTTGATAAAGCGTGTGTGGACAAAGTGTTTGTGGACAAAGTGTTTGTGGACAAAGTGTTTGTGGACAAAGTGTGTGGTGACAAAGTGTGTGTGGACAAAGAGTGTATGTTGATAAAGCGTGTGTGGACAAAGTGTGTGGTGACAAAGTGTGTGTGGACAAAGTGTTTTGGACAAAGTGTTTGTTGATAAAGTGTGTGTGGACAAAGTGTGGAGGAGGGCGGAGGAGGAGAAGGCGGAGGAGGAGCCCGGGATACAGAATCAAAAACAAGAACCCCACACAAAGATGTGGGGAAAAATGGGATTATGGCTTTCCAGGTAGTATGTAGTAGAGGGAAACATAGAGGGAAACAACAACAACCCACCCCACCTGGCAGATAACCTTGCTTCGCTTGGAGCGTCTTGTGGCGACTCTTCCGCCTACAACCACAGCAGTGTTGGATTGTTCTTGAAATAGAGACACATCAAGGATGCACAAGTGACAACGGCTCAAAATACTTGAGTTGCAGCAATTCTCAGTGCATTTTGGAACTGGCTTCCAAGTGTCTAGACAACTTTTCAAAACTGCCTCACATGGTATCTTTGACCTGGGGCTGCTAGCTGCGAAGCTGTCGTTCGGGTCAGGGTCACCACATGTCTTCACCAGGGTTCTTGATATCTCCTTGAAGATCGCCTTTAGTTGTGGGGTTAACAGGGGGTTAACATGGCTCAACTATAGATTGAACTATTGTTAAGTTAACTATTTGATTAGGTTCAATTGAATTATAAATTTGATCTTTGGTGGTGTTTGGGCATCAATAGTTAGAGTTGGCCCAAACACCACCAAAGTGACTGAATCTCTCTCGGAACTTCACCTGAGCGTCGGGCCGTGCGTGGATCGCTCGCGTCTTGAAGAGGATGCTTTGCAAAGCAGTGGATGCCTGGTACCTGTGGATCCAGGAGATTGTCGTCTCACGAAGTTGTGGAGATGGATCCCTCCAAATTCAGAGCAACCCCGAAGCGAACGATTGGAGTATTTAGAAACATCATATTATGACACAATTGTTTCTATCATCTTGTACCTACGAGGTCCTACAAGTATCCATCCATCCATCCATCCATCCATCGATCCATGTGCGGGTTTGTCCAACAATGGCATAAAGCACCTCAAACCCCCCATCGATCGTGACACAGTTCCGTTTGATGCAAAACCTGGGGCACGATTTGAAGGAGAGCACTGTGGCAATGAGCTTGGTCACCTGAAGCGACAAAGTTGGGGATGTTCATCTAAAGAATGGGGGGGGGTTATCGTTTTATTTCCATGAGCATTCGGATTTAATATGATTTAATCAGCTAAATGTGGATTTAGTCAGCACAAAATTATCAGTGAAGGCGAAGTGGGTGCGTCCGAATATTGAGCATTGACAGTATGTATACACTATATCTCCCAAGTTATGGGACCATTTTCAGTTGGGAAAATGATGATCAGCCCGTGGATGGACTGGGCCCCCCTATTTTCAGACAATTTCATATAGGAAATCCAACAAATATAGCTGTTTGTTGTTTCACCAACAAACGCTGGGAGAAAGATCGTCAATATTGACCACGAAATGCAATTTGCCAATCCCAAGTATGATTTCTTTCGGTGGTAGCCCAATAGGACTCAACCATCTAATGATGGGACTTGTTGTTCCTTACCCGGGACAGTGGCAAAAAAAACAGACCGGGGTCTAAATTCTACAAGGTTTTACAAGAACTGGTTGATTGGGAGAGGTTTTATCCAACAAACCAGCAAATGTAAAGCCCCCCAATAATGTAAACAGTCAACAGAGGTTTTGGTCACTGTTCATGTGCAAACATCGACTGAGATAGTGTCTCTCGCTCTTTCAATAGATGATTGAACAACATTTGGGTCTCGGTCCACAGAACACCAGGAATGCCTTCATTTATTTTTATTGATAAAAATACAAAACGTGCAAATACTATATGCATGTTGTATGTTCCGTCTCCATAATCCCGTTGAATGCAATGAAGTGCTACCATCTATCCCACAGTCACGATCCTTACACGAGAGCCGTCTTCCAATTGGCCTGATGATGGCAAAGTCTTTTGGCTATGGATCACAATCCGAGAATCTGGACGGTCATCCCCCCATGCATTCAGACATACGGCGAATCAGAGGGTTTCGGCCCATATCTCCACTGTGTTTATGTGCTTTAGGCCCGCCTATTAAAAGAATACCACTTTCTTGGCGTTAGCGAAGTCAGCGCCTCTTCCTTCTGGTAGAAAGCCAGCGCAAGCTGGACTGGGGGACCTGTAATCCCATGATCCCAGCTGGTTCCCATGACCAGGGGGGGTTGACAGCCACAAACATGTGGCAAACGCCACATCACACATTCACCAAGTTAGTTACTGTACCTGCCGGCAGACTCCACTTGCGGATGGATTGTCATTGAAGTCGGGATTCACTTGGATCAATGGGATTCGATGGGCATCTGTTGGCATTTAGATTCAGTCATGTAACTTGATCACATGGCACTCAATCTTTTTGGTTTGGAATGATTTCAAGTGAGCTTGTCTAAATCAATGTTGGGAAACCTGAAAACCCTATATGGTCAATCATGATTCCCAAATTGAAATTGTAATTTTAGGGGTCTTTCCCATTCTCAGCATGGGTCTACTGTCACCGGGACCATCCCACCAAGAAAGTCGCGCTAAGAACCTGGCGGGGATCCCGCATCCGCCAAGCTGGTCTCCGCTCCTTTCCCCAACGGTGTGGCAGGCTGATAAAACAGATGCCCTTTTCCTCAGATACTTGGGTTTGTCTTGAAACTTTTGTAAAATCCGGTACACCATGGTATGCCCAAATTTCCAACACAACGTGATGATTCTTGAATTTCCATACGATTGGCAATTTACAAATCACGTATAATTATTACAAATAAGTTGTTTTTGAAACCATCATCAACCACGATAAAAACATTTAAGGATGAATGACTCTGCTCTACCATCTTCCACCATGTCCTGTCCAGGCATCTTGCCCGTCACTCCGGCGCGGACTTTCACCACAGCGAAATAGGCTGCTGCGGCGGGAAGGCGTTCGGCATACTCCGGGCAGGGCTTTTGCTTCTCGGAGGCCTTCCAAGGCCTGGAAAAGATGAAACGCGCCAAGGGGATGTAGTGCTTGCGGCCAAACTGCTGCTTCCAAGTGCGAGGTTCCACTGAAACACCCATGGGGCCCATGGGGGGGAGGAGTTCGAAGACTTCTTCCACATCCAAAATGGATGAGAGCGGGAAGCTCAAGGATTCCGTTTGCAGCACCTTAAGCCCTGAGATGGGGTGAAGCTCCGCGGCTTTCCTGGATCTTCCAAGTGGTCTCAAAGATAGGCCCAACTTATCCACCTGAAGGAGGCAACGGTGATAATGAGGACAGACTGGTGGCAAATGAAGCCAGACATGTTGAAGTACCAAGGGCTCTGGGACCTTTGGTTCATCCAACAGTGCGGAAAGAAGCTCCTCTGGAAGCTGCAAATTGTGCTGAACGATTTCCCGCGAGGGTTGAGCTTCCTCCACGCAAATTGGAGGTCTGGGAGTACTGGAGAATGGCAGGGTGGCAGGAGCTGTGTGAAAAATCCCAGCCGGTGAAGAGGTGACATCTGTGTCCTCCAAATAACTTTGAGCCTCCCTGGTTTCCACATGGTCAGTTTCCAATCCTGGCAAGCCTTCCATGGCAACCGCCTGCGATGAACGGAGCTGCACGATCCGTGAGATGCACTCCGCTTGATCTTCAGATCTGCACGCCAGGTGGAATTGGCACCCCGCGCAGTTGCTAAATCCAAAGGAAAATCGGGCGTGCAGCTGTTTCACGTGAGGATGCGATTCAGGGACGGAGCAGGGCCGCAGGGAGGCATCCGAGTCCATGATTTCAGGCATGGCTTCCTGATTCCCCAACTGGAGCCACATGGTGGATACCCGTAAACTTGAAACCGATAGGAAAATAACAAATCGAATTACCAAATAGTGGACCATTCTCGTAGCGACATTGGGAATATAACATATATTCAAATGTGGATCTGTCTGAAAAAGTGAGGTATACCAGAAAAATCACACATGTTAATTGGGAAAATGATGATAAACCATGACTAATCATAGACTTAGGGTTGCCCAACATTTTCAAACACCGCCATATCTCTTCCGTTCCAAGTCTCCCAGGGAACAAACCACTGCTGCTGATCATTGTGCTGGATCTCAATGCCCAAAGCTGTGAAGTTCAGCAGGCACGGCTGAAAGGCAGCTGGTCGCTCCGCTTGATCCAGGAACCTGGGTGGAAACGGACCGACGAATCACTCGCAGTTAAACTCGTTGATGCCAGTTGACGTTTACCGAAACACAAAAACCATGGGATCTTACTGCACATAAAACAACAAACCACTTGGATAGAATTGGTGGAAAGGGAAGTTTGTGTGTGTGTGACACCCTTATTTTCTTGGAAATCATGATTTCCTGTAGATCTTCCCAACAAAATCAATGCATTGAAACACTAACAAAACAGCAAGTATGGGCTATCATCGAGCATTCAGTTTATAGTTCGATGATAGTTAATTTTAAGATTCTAAGGGTATATATATATATATTTATTTATCTATCTATTTATTTCAGCAGAACTAAGTTGTGGGTCGACATGCAAATGGTTTAGATTGGTAATGGTTTTTTCAAGAGAGAAAAAAAGCAGGAAATGAAAAAAATGAAAAGAAATGAAAATAAATAAGAAGAAATGAAAATAAATGAAAATAATTGAAAATAAATAAAACATTAAAAGGCACCAGGAAATGAAATAAACCATGAATGAAACCAATAAACACACAACGAATGATAAAGATATGCGAACATTGGAGGCCACCATATTCCAAACATAAACTGGGTAGCGGTGATTGAGTCGAAACCCCTACAAAAAATGCAAAACCGCTCCAGACCGTTCAGCATGAACCATAAAACATGTGAAAACGACATGAACCATAAACATGTGAAAAAATGTCACTACAGATCACTACAGCATGATTTCTGGGAACAATTTTCCAAACATGAATTGCATAGCGGTGATCGGGTACAAATTGCAAAACGGTGACATGTTTTTTTCTTTTCTTTTTGTGTCTTTTTCTTCTTTTATTTATTTTATTTTTATTTATTTGTTTGTCGTTTTGTTCTTTTTTTTTCTTTTTTTCTTTTTTTATTTTTTTCTCTTGGGTTTCGCGCCAGTGGGATAACCTGCATTTGGTTTGAAATTGAGAAAAATGATTCTTGAGGTCTTTTTTTTTTAATCTTTTTTTTTGCGCTTTTTTGATGAAAAAATGTAAAAATATGAAAAATAATGAAAAAATGTGTCTATGTTCTAAGAAAAAAAGGAAATCATATACGTGCTGCAAGGGTGTTCCTGGCGCGATGTGCTGCGGAAAACTCTAAATTCTTTGCGCTTTGGTGGCATTTTGGATCCCAGAGTCTTGTGTGGTCAGTTGCGCGCTTTCATTTCAATTTCAGCGCTCACCCATGTCGTCTTCAGCCAATGGTCCTTTGGCCCGTACGGCCAAGTGTCATCGAGAAGTCGACCCAATGATGGCAGGAATGAATCCTTTCCTTGCGTCCATGTTTGGTCCCGCCTTTGCATTGCTTGTCCCTACCCGTGCTGAATCGTGCTGATTTTGTTTTGATGGATCGATGAGGTACGTTGCTACACGTGACCAAAAACGACATTGGTTCCTGATGTGCCTTTTTTGTCAGTTGTTGTCAGACTGCGTGGCCAGCGTTGTCAAAACAAAATCAGTTTTGATAGGCTTCAGCCTGAACAGATTAAACAGGATGAAGTAAAATCAATTGAATTCTATCCTTTTTATATGTATATTTATTTCTTGTTATGTGTATTTATTTATTTTTATGTATATTAATTTCTTTTTATTTCCTTTTGTTTCTTTTTATTTCGTTTTATTTCTTTTTATTTCTGTTTATTGCTGTTTATTTCTTTTTATTTCTTTTTATTTCTCTTTTATGGCGAAAAAAAGAAAATATGATTTTAAATGTGTTTTTTTGAAGTTCGGATCATCCAAACCATGTTGTAACTAACCTACTGCAACCTGCACCACCACTTAGTCTTGCTGATATTTATTTATTTAACAATAAGGACCACCAAAATCCAAAAATACGTTTCGTATCTCAAGTTCCAAAGATATACAGTACCTAGTTCTAGTATGCTTCTTGGCAAGTAATTCAGATAGTACATGCCATCTGTCAGAATCACAAGTCAAGTGGGCTTAAGCATTTTTTGGATTTGCATTTATCCAAGCCACTCAGACTCTTCGGAGGTTTTCCAAACTACGGCTACCCCAAATCATCCAAGTCAGGGATGAGCATTTTAGTATCGAAACCCATGGTGATGAGTCCCCAAGTCAAAGTTTTAAGAACCCCTCACATGGAAATTGAGTGAAATATCGCTATTTATGTGATGGTTGATCAAAATTCCTTTATCCGCGAACGGCCATTCTTCGCGAATAAACAAATTATTTCGCGAACTCCATGTTTATCTTTCGCGGAACCCATGTTGAGCAACAACTCCTCTTATGAAGATTCATTCATCAGCTGCCAATCACACAAAATTATCACGGATAACTTCTTCATAGCCTTGTAAACATGCAGCTAGTATCACGGAATCCCCTTCTCAGGACAGGTTGTTGCTGATGAGGCTATTTTTTGCAAGGCTTACTGCGCCACTCTCTCAAAATGCACTTTGACTTTCGCCGACTCTTTCGCAGAACTTTCGCGAAAATACCCCTATCCGCAGACCCCAGCCATCAGCAGGGGGCGCATCAGAGGGGAAAAAAAGATAGCGGAAGCTTGGCTGCTGCATTTGGAGCCTGTTTCTTGAGACTTCAGAAAGTAACGTTAGGCAGTAGCAGCGGCAGGTGCAAGGATGTGCTTCAAGACCATGGTATTTGACTCACCTTCGGAAGCTTGGCTGCTACCTATATGGTGCGGTACCATTCTCCTGCCGGACCCTGGGTGGCCCTTAGCAAGTTGCAATGTATACAATGATAATGTTTCATAATATCCAACTTTCGCGAAACTTTCGCGAATGAACAATTTGCTTTCGCGAACTCGAAAAAAACAAACAACTTTCGCGAGGGTTTCCAACATAAGACGCACGGCTTTCGCAATTAAAACTCCTTACAAGGACCTTTAGATCGACTGCCATGTATATAATAGTCATATAGTTATGTATCATGATATCCCATGGAAGATCACCATATGTTGGTTCAATTCCATGAAACCTCCATACTTTCTCCGGGCCACAAGAGATCTTCCAATGTTGCCTCGGCCAGGGCCGCCTCGGCAAGCTCGGCCTGGGAATCCAGGATTCAAAAGGTCTCCAGGTCTGACCAGATGGAATTTTATAAAAATGATATGGGACATTTATGGAAAATTATATGGATATTGATTGAAATCCTGGATTTTTTAATGGTTAAAATGATATGGACATGATATGGGAAAATGTGATCTTATCATATCACATGTAATTTCCAATGATTTTCCATGCGCATTATATGGGAAATCCGCCGACCCCGGCCTTCGCCAAGGCCGGGGCGGCGCCTGGGACCACCGCAGGTGTGGAACTTGTCCTGTCGGACCACCCTCCAAAACCCTCCAAAACCGTCCAAACCCTCCAAACACCTTGTCCAGCAGGCACTTCAGGGCCAAGGCCACTTCCCCAACAGGCACCCCAGGGCCAAGGCCACTTCTCAACCAGGCACCCCAGGGCCAAGGCCACAGCAATGGCTTTCTATTGGCTTTCAAAGCTGCCAGCCCGCAAACACTCCAAACCCTCCAAAACCCTCCAAACGCTCCAAAATCCTCCAAACCCTCCAAACACCTTCCAAAACCCTCCAAACCCTCCAAACACCTTCCCCAACAGGCACCCCAGGGCCAAGGCCACTTCTCAACCAGGCACCCCAGGGCCAAGGCCACAGCAATTGCTTTCTATTGGCTTTCAAAGCTGCCGTTTGCCAGCCCGCAAACACTCCAAACCCTCCAAAACTCTCCAAACCCTCCAAACACCCTCCAAACGCTCCAAAATCCTCCAAACCCTCCAAACACCTTCCAAAACCCTCCAAACCCTCCAAACACCTTCCCCAACAGGCACCCCAGGGCCAAGGCCACTTCTCAACCAGGCACCCCAGGGCCAAGGCCACAGCAATGGCTTTCTATTTGCTTTCAAAGCTGCCGTTTGCCAGCCCGCAAACACTCCAAACCCTCCAAAACTCTCCAAACGCTCCAAACACCCTCCAAAACCCTCCCAAACCCTCCAAACCCTCCAAAACCTTCCAAACCCTCAACCCCCTTCAAAATCTCCAAACCCTCCAAAACCCTCCAAACCCTCCAAACACCTTCCCCAACAGGCACCCCAGGGCCAAGGCCACTTCTCAACCAGGCACCCCAGGGCCAAGGCCACAGCAATGGCTTTCTATTGGCTTTCAAAGCTGCCGTTTGCCAGCCCGCAAACACTCCGGACCCTCCGAGACTCTCCAAACGCTCCAAACACCCTCCAAAACCCTCCAAACCCTCCAAACCCTCCAAAACCTTCCAAACCCTCAACCCCCTTCAAAATCTCCAAACCCTCCAAAACCCTCCAAACCCTCCGAACACCTTCCCCAATGGCTTTCTATTGGCTTTCAAAGCTGCCGTTTGCCAGCCCGCAAACACTCCAAACCCTCCAAAACCCCAAACCCTCCAAACCCTCCAAAACCTTCCAAACCCTCCAAACACCCTCCAAAACCTTCCAAACCTTCCAAACCCTCTAAAACCTTCCAAACCAAAACCCTCCAAACCCTCCAAAACCCTCCAAACCCTCCAAACACCTTCCCCAACAGGCACCCCAGGGCCAATGCCACTTCTCAACCAGGCACCCCAGGGCCAAGGCCACAGCAATGGCTTTCTATTGGCTTTCAAAGCTGCCGTTTGCCAGCCTGCAAACACTCCAAACCCTCCAAAACTCTCCAAACGCTCCAAACACCCTCCAAAACCCTCCAAACCCTCCAAACACCTTCCCCAATGGCTTTCTATTGGCTTTCAAAGCTGCCGTTTGCCAGCCCGCAAACACTCCAAACCCTCCAAAACTCTCCAAACCCTCCAAACACCCTCCAAACGCTCGAAAATCCTCCAAACCCTCCAAACACCTTCCAAAACCCTCCAAACCCTCCAAACACCTTCCCCAACAGGCACCCCAGGGCCAAGGCCACTTCTCAACCAGGCACCCCAGGGCCAAGGCCACAGCAATGGCTTTCTATTGGCTTTCAAAGCTGCCGTTTGCCAACCCGCAAACACTCCAAACCCTCCAAAACTCTCCAAACCCTCCAAACACCCTCCAAAACCCTCCAAACCTTCCAAACCCTCCAAAACCTTCCAAACCCTCAACCCCCTTCAAAATCTCCAAACCCTCCAAAACCCTCCAAACACCTTCCCCAACAGGCACCCCAGGGCCAAGGCCACTTCTCAACCAGGCACCCCCAGGGAGGCTCGAACTCCTGACCTTGAGGTTAACAGCCTCACGCTCTAACCAACTGAGCTATGGAAGCCTCTGCCGCGGGCCAAAACTTGTGCCTGTGCTGGAGAAGAGGCTGAACAACAGTTGGTTGCAAATGGTGTGCCAAACAAAGGGACAGCAACCAAAGTAAAGGTTTCAGCAAGGTATGTGGGAAGGGAAGCAATGGTGATAACTACACCCAGCCAGGATCGAACTGGCGACCTTCAGCGTGTTAAGCTGACGTCATAGCCACTAGACCATGGGTGCCTGCAGAAGCTGAGGCGAGAGTTGCACCCAGGGCCAAGGCCACAGCAATGGCTTTCTATTGGCTTTCAAAGCTGCCGTTTGCCAGCCCGCAAACACTCCAAACCCTCCAAAACTCTCCAAACGCTCCAAACACCCTCCAAAACCCTCCAAACCCTCCAAACCCTCCAAAACCTTCCAAACCCTCAACCCCCTTTCAAAATCTCCAAACCCTCCAAAACCCTCCAAACCCTCCAAACACCTTCCCCAACAGGCACCCCAGGGCCAAGGCCACTTCTGAATCAGGCACCCCAGGGCCAAGGCCACAGCAATGGCTTTCTATTGGCTTTCAAAGCTGCCGTTTGCCAGCCCGCAAACACTCCAAACCCTCCAAAACCCTCCAACCGCTCCAAACACCCTCCAAAACCCTCCAAACCCTCCAAACCCTCCAAAACCTTCCAAACCCTCAACCCCCTTCAAAATCTCCAAACCCTCCAAAACCCTCCAAAACCCTCCAAACCCTCCAAACACCTTCCCCAACAGGCACCCCAGGGCCAAGGCCACTTCTCAACCAGGCACCCCAGGGCCAAGGCCACAGCAATGGCTTTCTATTTGCTTTCAAAGCTTCCGTTTGCCAGCCCGCAAACACTCCAAACCCTCCAA